TTAAAACTCTCCAAGCTGAGATTGATAGGGTGAGGCTTAATCAACCGATTGATTGGGAGGAGGTACGGGGTTTGGAATCGGAGCTTAGTCGCCAATGGGAAGCCGAGGAGGAGTATTGGCAACAGAAATCCAGAGTCCATTGGCTCAAGAAAGGGGATAGAAACTCTTCGTATTTCCACACGGTTACCCGTACCCTCCGGAAGCATAATTTTGTCTCAGGCCTTCACAATGACGAGGGTGACTGGATTACAGATGAGCGGGGGAAGGCGGATATAGCAACTAATTACTATCAGAATCTCTTCACTTCTAAGACTTCTGTCCAGAACATGGATGAGAGGGTTGCTAGCCTTCCAATAGAGCGGAAGGTCTCGTCAGATATGAACGTTGTGCTTACGGCGGAAGTCTCCCCTGAGGAAATTCGTAAAATCGTGTTTTCAATGGGAGCTAAGCAGGCTCCGGGGTCTGATGGGTTTACTGGGAAATTCTTCAAGTCTTATTGGGATATAATTGGTAACTTAGTGATTGAGGCGGTTCGGGCTTTTTTGGGACTAGTAGAATGCTTCGAAGCTTCAATCATACCTGGCTTACGCTGATCCCTAAAGTGGACAATGTTGAAAATATGGCGCAGCTCCGGCCCATCAGTCTTTGCCAATTTGTGTATAAGGTCATTACTAAAATTATGGCAGAGAGGCTTGCAAAGTTCTTGCCCCAAATCATTTCTGAAGGGCAGAATGCTTTTATTCGCGAGCGGCAGATTGTGGAAAACATCCTGCTTGGGCACGAGTTAATGCATTATCTTAAAATTAAAACGCAAGGGAAGAAAGGGTACATGGCTCTAAAGGTTGACATGGAAAAAGCCTATGACAGGGTTGAATGGACCTTTCTGCTTGCGATTTTGAGAAAGTTAGGTTTTAACTCGGTCTGGTGCGGGTGGGTTCAGGAGTGTCTTAGGTCTGCTTCGTTCTCGATACTTATGAATGGCACTCCGGCAGGTTTCTTTACCTCGACCTGTGGTCTTCGGCAGGGAGATCCTCTGTCCCCGTTGCTCTTTGTGCTTTGCACGAAGGGTTTCGCTGCTTTGATCAGACAGGCCATCGCAGAGAGGAGACTAGAAGGAGTGAAGGTTGCCCCTAGGGCACCCCGTATCTCACATCTTTTCCTTGCGGATGACTCGTACCTATTTCTCCGCGGCTCTTTGCAGGAATGTGAGAACCTTATTGAGGTCCTAAACACATATGAGGAGTTAAGTGGCCAACGGGTTAATTTGGGCAAGTCGGCAGTGTGCTTTAGTAAGAATATTTCTTTGCCTGATCAGGAGTTTCTTGCCGAGATCCTGGGTGTTGGCGCAGTAGGAGTCCAGGATAAATATTTGGGCCTCCCCACTTTGATTGCGCGTTCTAAAATGGCTACATTTCATTTCTTGGAGGATAAATTGTTAAACATTTTGCAAGGATGGAAGCAGCGGACGTTATCTTGGGCAGCTAAGGAAACACTGATCAAGTCTGTTGCCTTAGCTCTACCTCTTCATGTGATGTCCTGCTTCAAATTGCCGTTGTCTTTGTGCCGCCTCTTGGATAGGCATGTAGCTCGATTTTGGTGGGGAGTGGAAGGGGGCATTCCAAAATTCGATGGGTGTCCTGGAGAATTATGTGCACTAGTAAGCATGAGGGTGGCATGGGCTTTAGAAGATTTGAACAATTTAATCAGGCCTTGTTGGCAAAAATTGGGTGGCAAATTCTGTCTGAACCCCAGTCTCTTCTGGCGCAGGTCTATAAAGGAAAGTATTTCCCTAGGGGCACGTTTTTAACTGCCGAACCTAGGTCTCGACCCTCTTGGGGTTGGCAGAGTATCCTTTATGGTCGTGAATTGCTGCTCCGTGGTCTCCGTTGGCAGATTGGAAACGGGCAGACAGCCTCGCTGATTTCCTCTAGTTGGGTTCCCCTTTTGCACCCTAATAGCCCGGTTTATAACCCTCAGGTCATTCCTGTTGGGGGGGATCCAAAGGTGGGATTGGTTATCTGCCAAGGTGAGGGGAGATGGTGTGATGAGAAGCTCCTGCAGTGGTTTGCTCCAGAAGTGTGTCGTGTGATTAAGTCTATTCCCCTCCCTCGTAGGGATGTAGAGGATAGGCTAATTTGTCACATGACAGCTGATGGTCTCTTTTCCGTTAAGTCGGCGTACCACCTTGCGGTTTTGATTGATAAACAGGAGGGTCGGTGGAGACCCGTGGTTAGCTGGATGGATAAGCCAAGTTGGGTTCGTTTGATGAATGCCAATATCCCTCCTAAACTCAAAGTGTTCCTGTGGCAAGTGTTTCGTCGCATCCTTCCGACGACCGAAGCGTTGATCGAGAAAGGCGTGGACGTTCTCCCGCGTTGTCCTGTCTGCTGGGTGGAGAAGGAGACGATGGAGCATTTGTTCTTCGATTGTCGGGTGGCCAGGGCCCTTTGGGATCAGGCGGGGTTGGGCCATCTTGGTCAAGGATTGCCCGGTCATACCTTCCCCCTGTTTTTGAAGAATCTGCTGGGTACGCTTAATCAGCCTCATTTGTTCATGGCAGTGGCTGCTGTCCTATGGCGAATATGGCGGTCGCGTAATTGGGTGGTGTTTGAAGGCAAACAATTTGGGATTCCAGCATTACTACGGCAATATTTCCAGCAATACCAAGAATGGGTAAGCCTCCCTGTGGACCCGGCTCCGGGTGTGCCCCCCATTTCCCCTCCTGTGGGTACGTTCACTGGTGAGCAGTCAGTTACCTGTATGTGGGATGGGGCAACCAAGTCGGGGTCTCATTCGGCGGGTGGGCTTGTGCTCAAGGACTCCAACAGGAATATTTTGCTGGTTCGTGGTGTGCAGTTCCCGGATCTTGACATCCCCTTGGTGGCTGAGGTATTGGCTCTTCGAGAAGCAGTGACATGGTGTCTGGAATTTGGCTTTCATGATGTTTGTTTCCAGGGGGATGCTCAGATTATCATTGATAAACTTACGCGCCAGGATGCGAGGGATGTTCAAATAGGGGCGGTGCTGGAGGAGATCATCGGAGTGTTTTCTAGTCATAGTGCTTTAAGTGTTCGTTTTGTAGGTCGGAGTAACAATAGGGTAGCCCATTTGGTGGCTAGAAAGGCCCTTGATTTGTACCCGGCTACATGTCGTTCTTTTGATTTCCAGGCCTGGCTGGTTTCCAGGATGTAATACCTTTTGATCCAATCAATATATGTGATTATCTTTTGAAATAAAAAATTAAGTCTAACTAGTTGAAAGGTTGAGCCTAACTAGTTGAAGAAAAGTTAAAATATGTGAAATATGAACATATATTGTAAGTATTTGAGGTAAAATGGGCCAAGAACGGGGCGGGATAGGATAGAGTGGGCAGTGGCGGATCCATAATTTTTTTGTAGGGGTGACCTCTTCCAAAAATTAAATTAAATAATTCATAAATAAGAAAATATCCGATTAGTACAAATTTTAACAAAAAGTCACGATGTGTTTACATATTTCGAAAAAAATATAAAATAGATTCGGTACCTATACTGCTCAACAAATCTGTATATCCTACTAGACAATAATTCACAAGCTGATCGCATATTCAATTTCTAACCTTGTTTATGATGTAACTCAAAGCTGAAAAATACTCTTTCAACACTCTGTGTAACCATAAAATCAATTCAAATTAGGGGTACTCCTAGGGATAATGAATCGTGTCTTTACTATTACATAGTGTTTAAAATAGAAAAAAACATGAGTTATAACCTAATGGAGAATATGTTTAATAATAGTAGTGTCATAGGTTTGAATAACACAGACTACCACTTATATTTCTTTTATCATACGCAAACTACTATCGAGGGTAAGATAATCATTTTTTCAAGTTTTAGGGGTGTCCCGGATTACTGATTATATTTTGTTTATCCATACGAAACTACTAGCGGCGGTTGGATAATCATTTTTCCAAATTTTAGGAGTGTCCCGCACCATGTATCCGCCACTGAAAACGGGTTGGGTCGGAAGTAAATACTCATATCCCCGTCCGGCCGCCTCACGCTACTGTTGGTCGGGTAATACCCATGGAACGGGTTCAAATTGCAATCATTACGTACAGCTATGCAATATCAATAATCAATAGCATGCAAACTAATTTATATTCAATCATTATACTACTTATAAATATACATAATTTATACAATCCAAAGCGCAATTTATAGCGTTATCTATTGTGTTAGCTTTCGAAAGAAAAACTATGAGATCTCAAAGATATGGTTGTACTGAATGGTACAACCCCTAAGAGAGAGAGCTGTGCAATAACCATTTTTTAAATTGTGATATAACTTATAAATCGGTTATCTAGAATATGACATCGAAACAATGCATTTGGGAAGAGGAATCTGACATTATTGGCCATAATTTGATTAATGACGAACTAAATTAGTCGTCTTCTTCTTCTTGATATTTTTTTCAACTTAAGTCAATTATGCCATAGCCCTAGTTTGATTAAGAGCATCGAAATCAATACAATTGCAAAAACAATTGTATTTGTATTCTTTATTTCTAACTCAATTTTTCTGCAATCAATTTGCTAACTTCTTCCCCTTGCTTCATGTTCACTAGACAAATTGAGCAGCAGGCGTTGTCATCTTCTTCTTCTTGGCTTGCTTCCGATTTGCAGTAACGAGTGACAAGGCCGACTGAGGGATCAGAAAAACAGAGTACTCTGCTGGGCCTGGGATGGAAGATTTGGGGAAAATCCACAGCCCCATTTCAAGTGGGCAGAGACAGAGATCAAGGCCATCAATTTGGACATGGTTTCTCTGGGAGTATAGCACTCAGGGAAATGAGGAAACGGTGGAAGGACAAGTTAAAGGGATGCGATGTGATGATTGTAATTATAAAGTAACAAGAAAAGGTTGAAGATATCTTGTTTCTCGTCGGAAAAAGTTAGGCTTTTTTTTTATTTTATGCTATTGAAGGGATCCATGAAGGGGGAAAATTTGGCTTGAGTTCAAGTCCTTAAGTCTCATTTTTTAAGGAGAATCTTAAAGCCTTCTTATTAGTTGATACTGGATTAGATAGTTAATTGGGGTTAGTAGTTAATAGGTAGTTAAAGGTAAATGGGGTTATGCAAATATAATTATTAATATAATTAATTAATGATTCTCTTTCTCTCTCCCTCAACCCAAAATAAATGGGTATGGGTACAAACCCATCAAACTCTACCCATATCCATCTATTTGGATTTCATACCCAACCCAATTGGGTTGGATAGTAAGAAACCCATGGGTATGGGCAAAGTTGCCATCCCTAGTCTAAGTTAGTAACATAGTTTTTTTTTTTTTTTGCGTACAAGGAGGCAAAAGCCGCGAAAGAAGAAACCCAGGGGGTTTTACAGGATAGTGGGAGTAGGCGCCACAATCTGGCGCTCAAAAGAAATACCCATGGCGTCCTCTCTAACAATAGAGGCTAACTCGGGTGGTGGGTTAGCAACCTCATGCACACCGTAGGAATAGACGAGACTGTGCTTCGAGAGCCAGTCCGCGACTCTATTCCCTTCCCGGTATACATGAGTGATGCTTACCAGCCACTCCTGACTAATCCTCCTACGGATCGCTGAGAGAAGAGTAGCATGAGGGTGCACAGGATCATTTCTGTTGTTGATGAGCTGTATCGCAAGCTGGGAGTCAGACTCCAAGCGCACCGCCCGACACCCTTTTTTCCAAGTCATATCCAAACCATGAAAAATAGCCCACAACTCGGCCAAAACAGCCGTTGCCGTCCCCAAATTCGCAATGAAACCAGCAATCCATCTACCTGTCCAGCCGCGAAGCACACCTCCTGCCCCAGCAGCTCCGGGGTTACCATTAGAGGCCCCATCAACATTTAGAGTCACCCAACCATGTCTCGGGGGAGTCCACCCAACCATCACTGTAGTTCTGGCAGTCGTCGGCCCTCTGCCATTGGGGAGAGGAGAGGGAGCTTGCCATGCCTCATGCCACAGTCTACTCTTGGCCATAATTGAGAACTCAAGGGAAGGAGGGGAGAGGTCTGACCTTGGACCTTTGAAACAGGTCGTACACCGATTCTTCCAAATGAGCCATGACGCGACGCTGAAGAAGGCCGCCCAACTCATACCCGAGTCTAGCTGCTCGCTGCTCCTTAGATTATCACGCAGCCAGTTGCTCCCGTCGAGGTTGAAGAAGTTGTGCAGAAGGCTAGGCGGGCTGTGACGAAGCCAGAAATAGCGGGCTGCAGTGCAATCACGCAGAGTATGCAAGATGGACTCGATCGGGTGCCCGCAACAAGCACAATTCTGATTGTTGGTAACTTTCCTTGCGTGCAGAAGAGACTTAGTCGCCAATCTCCCCAAGAAAGCCATCCACATAAAGCTCCTGATCCGTTCCGGAATAGGGAGGCTCCAGATGGTCTTCCAAACATCCTCATCCGGGTCGGGCGGTCTCTGGTTTTGGAGAGAATAGGCTGACTTCGCCGAAAACCTTCCATCCGACGAAGCTGACCAGAAGATGGTATCATCCTCCGCGGCCATTTTGTCGACACCAATGCTAAGGATCTTCTGGAACACGTCCCCTGGGATGAGGTCCTCAAATAGCTCCGTCCGCCAGGTTCCATCTTCCTCCACGAAATTCTCGATCGGCTCCGCCACATCAGACTCCGGGATGTGGCCAAGGGCAACCTCCTTAGGGGTGGTAAACGGTCGGTAACCGGTATAACCGGTTACCATTTGACCGGTTTCCGGTATACCGGAATTCCCCATGCCACTGCCATTAGCCGATACCGAGAAGATTCGGTAAACCGTTTGTCGATGGGAACGGTTTCGGTAAGGGAAACGGTCTACCGAGTTCCGCCATATAGTTTGATGCGGGGGAATTAAAGTGGATGGAAATAAAGTAATAAACACTTGTGACCTGACTTGGACAGTTGTATAGTCTGCGTGTTGTTTCAACTTTCAATCACGTAGCCCGTGGGTCTTCACTCTTGTGACTTGCCTGGTGCAAAGTGGATGGAAATAAAATAAACAGGGTCTCGTTGAGTCATTGATTGTCTTGTAGACTTGTAGTATAGTCTTGTACTCTTGTGTCTTATCACTATGTGGGGCATGTGCTTCTCTGCTTAGCGGCTACGGCAAATGTCAAATAAAAATAGTGAAATAACCACACAATAGCACAAAGAACTCGGCGGCTATACCTGCTGATTAATTGATTATGAACGAATGACAGTATGGATTATAAAACGATTATGAAACAATGAAACTCGTCTACAAAAATTAGTAAGTTATCTAAAATCAAGTCGACGGTGAGACTAATGATGAACTGTTGTATGTCGGGCTGTGTGGTCGTGGGACTAAGCTCCGACGGAACGACGACGGGGTTCGAAGGGAACAGAGCCTGGCGGAGAGCGGGAGAGGATGAGGCCCCCCTGTGTTGCTGGGCCGTGTGGCTCTTGGAAGGGCCTTGCTCCGGCTACGGAGACGACGAAGAATCCTCTGGTTTTGATCGACGGCTTTTGGTTGGATGAATGGACGAGGGATCGGCGGGGTGACTCCTCTTGCTCGTGCAGCAGGGGACTCGAAGAAGCGCTTGACTTTAGTTGTATAAATACTATTAGGACTAGGTTAATAGGTTATTGGCTAATTACTTTCGGCGGCCGAGGTTTGGTTGATAGCTTGATGCCTTCTCCTCTTCGGTATCGGAAAACCGTTAAGCCGACGGTATTTTACCGTCCATAAATCGGTATACCGCAAGCCAGAGTCCAGTCGCCGAATACCGTATGAAACGGTTAACGGTTTAATCGGTAACCGCGGTTACCGGTACGGTAACCGGTTAAACCGTTAACCGTTCCACCGTTTACCACCCCTAAACCTCCTTAAGCGGAACCTGTAAAACCCATGAATCAAGCCAAAATTTAGTGTGTTTACCGTTCTTTATATTCCAAGCACAACCTTTCCGGAGAAGGTCAGAAGCTTTAGCAAAGCTTCTCCAGGTAAAGGAACTTCCCTGAATAGGACGGATGAGCTCAAGATTCTCCCTCTGACGACCATACTTGGCAACCATCAGCTGGGTCCAGAGGTTATCCTTCTCCTTCATCAGTCTCCAGCCGCTCTTCGCAAGCATCGCAAGATTTGCTTGCCTGAGAGATCTTAAGCCAGCTCCGCCTTGCACCTTGGGCTGCGTCATCTTCTCCCAGGCCACCAGATGCATCTTCGATTTGTTTTCCTCGTCTCCCCAGATAAAGTCCCTGTTCATCCTGTCAATACTCTTGCAGACAGAACTAGGGATTAATTCCGTGTTCATACAGTAGGTAGGAAGGGAGGACGAAACAGATTTGACCACGGTAAGCCTGGCCGCAAAGGAAAGTTTTTTCGCCTTCCAGGGAGCCAGCTTCTGTTGAATGCGGAGGAGAAGGTTGTGATAACGGCTTTGGGTGACCCTTCCGTGAATAGTCTGCAGCCCCAGGTACTTTCCCAACTCCATCTTGAGAGGAATGCCAGCTCGTCTGCTAAAATGATCAGCCCTCTGCCGGTCCACATTAGGCGACACATACAGAAGAGACTTGTTGTAATTGACTCTTTGACCGGAGCTGAAGCAGAAGTCATCCAAACACTGCCGAATGACCCTGATCTGTCTCGTCTCTGCTTCTGCAAACAAAAAAAGATCATATGCAAAAAACAGGTGAGTAAGAGGCGGCCCTCCCCTCGTAAGGTGGATGGGTTTCCAGCTCCTGTTATTAACAGCCTCATCAATCATATGGGAAAGACGTTCCATACACAACACAAAGAGGTAGGGTGAAAGAGGGTCTCCCTGGCGCACTCCCCGTGTCGGGGTCAGAGTTGGGGACAGTTCCCCATTCCAGAGGATCCTCATACGATTCTGCTCCACACAATACATGATGCAGTTGATCCACGCGCTGGGCAGCCCTACTTCCTTGAGAGTATCGCGCAGGAAATCCCATCTCAGCAAGTCATAAGCCTTCTCCAGATCAATCTTTAGGATGAGCCCTCCCTTCTTCCCTTTTTTCCTCCCGAGAGAGTGAAGCGCTTCCTGCACAACGATGATGTTGTCCGTCGTCTGCCTTCCTGGAATGAAGCTGCTCTGCCTCGGTGAGACAAGCTTCCTCATCACCGGTTTCAGTCTGCTAGTCATTGCCTTAGTGATAGCCTTTAAATTGACGTTGTTGAGGGAAATAGGCCGCAGCTGAGCAACAATCTCCGGGCTATCTACCTTAGGAATCAACACCACCGTAGATTCCGTGATCGACTCTGGCAAGATACCTGTAGAAAAGAAATTAATAGCCAACTCTGTTAAGGCCTTGCCCACCACTCGCCACATCTGCTGATAGAAGACTGCTTGGAACCCATCAGGACCGGGCGCTTGGTACGGCTTCATATCAAAGATGGCTTTGTGAATGTCGATGGCGGAGAAAGGGCGCAAGAGGAGCATCCATTCCCCCTGATCAAGTCTGGGAAAAGCATTCTTAGGTAGTCTGTCCTCATAGATAGAGTCATCCTGCAAGTACAAAAGAGCCAAAGAGTCAAAAACCAGGGCTGCAAGAGCCTGAGGTTCCTCCACCCAGTTCCCATTGGCATCGCGAAGGGCTAGGATCTTGTTGCGTCTCCTCCGAACATTGACTTGATGATGGAAGTACGCCGTGTTCCTCTCCCTGAATTTCACCCATTGCTCTCTAGATCTCTGAAACCACAGGAGCTCTTCCTGCTCAAGCACCTTGTCAAGCTCAGCCTCCAACTTAGCATTGAGCTTAGCCAGAGCTGGTGAAAAGGCCTGAGAGAGTCTAGTTTCCACACCATGCAATCTGGCCAGCAGTCTCCTCTTCTTCTGCTGGACGTTCCCAAAAACATTCTTGTTCCACTCCTTGAGCTTCTCTGCCAAAGAGGCAAGCACATGATCAAGTTGAGCCTCCTCCTCCCAGGTACCAGCGACAAAATCCTGAAGGTTATTATGAGTTAGCCACGCCGCCTCAAACTTAAAAGGACGAGAGTCGGAAAGAGAGGGCCCCTGGGTAGCCACAATAGTCAGAATAGGATTGTGGTCAGACTGAAGCCGGGGGAGATGCAACACAGTGGTGGAAGGAAAACACTCATTCCATTTCAAGTTGCAGAGGCTCTGGTCTAGTCTACTGGCTTTATGGGACTGAAAAGAGTCTCCCCTCGTCCATGTGAATTTCGAACCCGAGAAACCCAGATCAATCAACTCGGCCAAGTTAATCCTGTCATTAAACTTCCGGCATCGCCTGATTGTAGCTGCTGAGGAGGCACCAGTTTTCTCCGCAAGAGATCGAATGGCGTTGAAATCCCCTGTGAGGATCCAAGGTTCCTCCATCATTCTACTTTGATTGATAATGTTGTCCCAAAGAGAGCTTTGAAGGTGCTGACGGGGCGAGGCATAAACTGCGGTCAGTATCCACGAACTACCCCTTCCTTGCCGAACGCGAACAGAGATGTGCTGATTACAGGACGAGATGAGCTCTATAGAGAACCGTTGTCATCCCAGCAAATCCAAATACCCCCTTACGACCTTCAGCATCCACCCTAATAGAGTTGGGAAACCCCAGCTTATCACAGACCAAATCAGCCGAACTCCCACTGATTTGCGGCTCCAGCAGGATCACAAAGTCCGGCCGATGCTGACAAATTGAGAGCTTCAGCGCTTGGGCAAAGGCCTTACTACCTGCACCACCAACGTTCCAAGAAAAAATTTTGATAGACGGAATAGACGGCATAAACGACATAATGTATAATAGAAAGAAAGGGGAGAAGGAAAGAAAACACCAAAGTTTCGATGAAACAGGGGGGGAGCAGCGAAATCAGGCATCGGCGCCAGTCAAGGCCGAAGAGGTGGGCGGAACGCCCATCGAATATCCCGGGCTCGACGGAGGAAGGTGGACTTCGCTCAGGGCCTTCTCTGTCTGGTAGCTCTTCGCCGATTGGGCCGCCTCTGTCCAAGCATTTATCTCATGGAGGGTTAGAGACGCCATCCTAGACTTCGATTTTGCTTTCCTGTCTTTCATCGGGGACCAAACGTGAAGTGGGCGCATGGGGTTCAATTTCGCCGGCGATCCTTTCTTCGATCGACCCTTGGAGCTCCTCTTCCCTTTGGTTCTGTCTACCGTTGACGGGGAGGATTTCTCAGACCGATGATGAGAGCCTCCACTTTCGGACGGGACCTGGATAATTTGCATTATTGTTCCGTTCGGGCCTGTAGAGACACACGTTGGTGGGGGGGTGAGAGGTAGAACTTTTGGGCTGTCTTGAGTTCGGGGCCCAGAGGAGGTTCCCTCATTCGGCCCGCTAATCAAAGAGGGGTCTGGCAGCAGCTTTGACGGGGGTGGCGAGGTCCTAGCGGCCTCCGACTTGGGCTGGCCTTTCTTCGAGCTGGGTCCCTGAGATGGGCCAGGGCCCAACAAACTTTTACCAGCGGGAGAGCCCTCCTCCCTCAAGACCTCCTTACCATTTTGCTTCCCTTCCCCAGATGACTTACCTCCATTATCAATCCTACCTTGGGCAGGAGGCCGTTGTAGATGTGACGGAGATTGTTGCGCCACCACCGGTAAGGAAACTTCCGATTCTTTGGTTTTCAGCCCATTCTTTCCATTCTTAGCAGGCGCCCCATGAAGGAAATTCCCCAATTCTTTTTCCTTGGATTTAATATTGATCCCCAAATCCTTCTCCTTTCCTTTACTGTGCAAATCCCTCGGATTCCGCCGTCCTTTGCGGGTGACTAACATCCACGGGCCGAAGACCGCGTTGACCTCCGACGAGGATTCCGGCGACGAGACTTGGGTGCCGCCATCGGCGATACCAGCACCCTCCACGGCAGCGGTTGGCCGGAGCAGGGGGCAAGATGTCGATGAATGGCCAATTTTTCCGCACTCGAAGCACACAGTGGGTAGATTCTCGTATTCAACAGGCTGCCAGTCGTCATCAAGCCAAATCCTTGGGACGAGAGGTCGAGAGAGGTCAACTTCCACTGCCAGTCGTGCGAACTTTGCCCTCTGTTGGGTGAGTGTGTGGTAGTCGAGCTTGATCGTGCGTCCAATCAAGTTACCCAACGTATTCAGGACCTCCTTGTGGTAGAAATGGATTTTCAACTCTGGGAGATGAACCCAAACAATCATCGTTTTTGGCAGGGGATCCGAAACCTTGAATCTTGGCGTCCATTGCTGGACCGCCATGTAGTGATCGAAAATCATCCAAGGGCCATCTGTGAGGGCTTTAAAGTAGTCCTGGTCATTGTTGAGCTTCACCAGATAGCATGCTTCATCGAGATCCCTGACCTCCATAGAACCAGTCGGCCGCCATAGCGCCTTTAGGCGGGAGCAGAGAGTGTGGAATCCAATCTTGATGCCCAGAAGCCGGACCACCAAAGTTCGGTGCCACGGGGCGCACAGCCTGTTCTTGAAATCCATGGAAATACTCAGGGCCGGTTCGCCATTTCGCTCGCCGGGGATCAGGTCATGTTCACCTACCGGGGTCCATTGGACTGATAGCGGTTGCGACGTTGGTGCCAACGGACCTCCCGTGAGGACGCTCGCATACGAGATGGGTTGTTTCAGTGTCGGCGTCGCCTGATTCGATGGCGTGATCATAAGGGTCAACTGATTGTCGGGAATGTTGTTCACCTCTACCACCGATGGCTTGGCGCTCAGATGGACGTCTTCCGCGATTGAATCCACCATCATCGCACTTGAAGAGGGGAGCTCTTTTGATTCCGAGGACAGGGCAATAGCAGGATGCAAAACAGGGGTCTGGCCTGTATCCGGCGGCCGACCAGTTTCGAGGACAACCGACGCCGAAGAAGGCTGGACAGTCATACTTTTCAGAGCGTTTTCCAGTATTAGTTGACGCAGCGTTTTCCAGTAACATAGTTGGTGTCATTATTAATAGGTGTGTATAAGCATTATCAATGTTTGAAAAATAAGATATTAATAATATCTAATAAGGTACTTAACAATCATTAGTTGCTAGCATTATCAAAGTTTTTGGATGCATTATCCATTAAACACATGTTACTAATTAATGCATTTTTAGTGCTATTTGACATTAAACATTGCATCTGAATATTATTAATATTTTTTATTACAAAAATCTATTTCCTTATCAGTGACTTGATCATTCGATATTAATGGTTTTTAATATCTTTATTAAAAGTTTGATGTCATTTATAATGTTAAAGTCGGACATTTTTACATTGATATTTTGTGTTTATTTTCAACGAAGTACTTTTCGTTATCAATGATTTATTGTATTGTTATTAAAAGTTTGGTGTTGAGGCGTGAATGTTGGTTTGCTTGAGCTAATATTTTTCTGGACAATGTTTGTTTGACTGAATCACACAGGTGCACAATGTCACAACTCACAAGTACCCAAGATGTTGAAAATCAGAATTGTGCTTTACGATCATTGAGAATGATATTGTAAAACAATATTAATTGCGTTAATAATGTCATTAGAAATCATTGGAAGAGGCCATGACTAGATAGTTATAAACATGATGTGAAAATGTGAATCATTAGTACTAAAGATGTTGTAAATCAATGATATTGTTATTCAAACTGTTAATGACCATGTTACATAACTTTAATGATTCATTCATAGGCGTTGAAGACAAAACTATAAAACAATAACAATTGATCCAAAATTGTTAATAATGTAATTGTAAGGAATTGATAAGTATATTGAAGTCGTTAATAATGATGAGGTATAATAATAACGATTCATTTCATAAATGTTGATAATGTCATTGGAAAATGTTAATACTGTATTGCAAGTTGCCACGAAGTGAGAGAGCATATATTTTTAATTTTCAATTTTCATTTTAAAAAATAAAAAATATTAAGTTCGAATTTATTAAATATTAAATAATAATATTTAATTAAATTAATTTCGAATTTCCTTTTAGTTGTAGTGGAGAGAGATGGTTATGGAGAAGATAAGGGGGAGAGAGAAAGAGAATCATTAATGAGTAATATTAATTATATTTTTATAATATCTTATTTATTCCAACTAACTATGAACTACTAACCCCTAATTAACTACCTAATCTAGTATCAGCCAATAAAAATGGTTTAAGAACCTCCTTAAACAATGAGGCTTAAGAATCGGATCCAACCCGGGAAAATTGTGGTAGGAGCAAATCCTTGATCACATATAACAAGAGTGAGATAAAAAAAATATATTGTGCTATTTGTTTTGATTTCTATTGATTTAGTTCATTTCATGCTTATTCATAATCCACCAACCATAGGGCTAGGTGTAGTACTAACACCCAAATGCAATAAATTAGTTTCAGTGTTTTGATCCAAGTTCGTCGAAGTACACCCATTAAACAAGAAATCTGGTAGAAATATGAAAATTTTCTTTCTAAATTGAAGACTGATCTGACGATTTTCGAGAATCTACTATTAAATTTGGCTTTTTATAGTCAAATTCAATGTGAGATCGGTTAAGGGTATGATAAAAATTGCTAAATCTAGTCCATGATAGTGTAGTGAGTGTGAAGTAGTCTCAATAAGATCCTTGTTGTAGACAAGTCTATTTTCGAAACAATCTTATGTAAGGTTAAGAACAAATCATTGCTATCCGACTTTGCAAGGGCGAACCCCTAGACCTAATTCACTCGAGAAGTTGTGATAAAGCGTCTATCCTATATTAAAGACTGTGAATATTGAAGTAATATATATGAAGGCTCGAATTTATTGAGCAATTATAATATGTTATTGAACCATAATACCTTTTTATGTGGTCCTCCCGCTTCTACCTAAATGTCAATGATGTTTTGAGGTTATAAGTCACGCGAAGGTTCAACTATTTTTATTCAAAAATGAAGGAGAAATTATAGCTATCTACTATTGAGGAATTTGAGGCCCTATATGTATGTCATATCTCAAGCCGATTGAAACTAGAAGTGGTAGAACTAGGTTGAAAATAGGAGAACTTATAATCCCTTCAATTTTAAAATTTAGATAAATTAAATGTAAAATTTGTAACAATAAAATAATGAATAAGGCTTTAGCTCCTCTTTAATTACTCCGTTCAACTCAGCCTCATATTGGTAAGGCTAGGAAACGGTGCGGTCTGGTCCAGACCAGACCATATATACGGTCTATGGTCCAAACCGAGAGGCTGAAGTATAGACCACAGACCAGACCACAGACTATACGGTCTGGTCCAGACCACGCCTGTGCGGTCTGGTTTGGTATGGTCCAGATATACCACACTCAAAGAAAAATGAATAATTTGTTTAGTCAACCACACAAAAAATTAAACCAATAACCAAGAAAAAACAATTGTTATTTGCCTTAAAACATTAATCCTAACATGCATGAATAATTTTGATATCCTAAATCTTAGAAATAACAAAAATACAAAGTAAAAGCATACAAACTTGCACCATAGCGTTATAAACATTAACACAATGTCATATGGAGACACGATTACCTCTACTCTCTGGTTAAATGTGGTTGTGAACGAAGGAGGGACGAGATTCTCAAAATTAAGGTTGAGATTTGGGTGTCGTTGTGTGAGTTGGGTGGGTGATCGAATGGGCTATTAACACGTATTGACAAGTCAGTTGGGTCCACGGTTTGGTCCGGTAAACCGCGGTCTAGACCAGACCAGACCAAGAGATCAAAACATAAAATAAACTAGACCATGGACCAGACCAGACCATACTTAACGGCCTACGATCCAGACCAAACTGTGTGGTACGGTTTGGACCACGGTTTTTCTAACGGTCTGGTCTATTTTCCCAGCCCTACTTTCTAGCACTGCCACTATAAAAGAAGAGAGAAAGAATTGCCATTATTTTTATTTGATTCTTTAGCAAGGTAGTTTGGAAGTTCACTCAGAATACTTTGAATCATTTGTTTTTAACTTCTTATTATTAAAACAAAAATAGCGTTTTGTTGCTTGTTCCAATTCAACATATGCCTATGATTTATGAAAGACTAAATTAATGTTTGGTCACTCTAATTATATAAATCTTTCATGTTTGCCATCCAAATTACTTTTCTTTCTTATTTACCACTAACTTTACGAATCGTTTCACCATTAGTCACTCGTCGTTAGTCTCCGTCAGACTCCGTTAATTCCGTTAACTTTTTTAATAATGTGGCAAACGGAACTGCTGACTAGGTCGTTAACTAAATGACATGTCAATTATAATAATTAAAAAATAAAAAGAAGACAAAATTAAGAGGAGCACCTTTCCCCTCACTCGTCTTCTTTGCTTTTCCCATCTTTCACCCAGAGCAACAAATCATGCTCCATCTCCACCATCTTTCCAATTGGGGAAAATGGCATCGATGGATCCCAGACGAACTCCCTTCCACTTCGAGATCTGTCCTTCTTTCCTTGGCTACACCGTGCCTTCTGCACTTACAAGATCGGGAAGCGCGACGACAATCTTTGCGCGACAACTCGTTAGCCGAATTTGACGGAGGCGAAGAAGAGCGAATTGGTCGGGCGAAGCCAAGAAAAGATGGACGAATGGAAATCCTGATTCTACGAGCTCCACAACGTCTCTTCAGCTTCCAATCGAGGAAATTCGTCAATTCCGACAACGAATTTGCCGGCTGCCGGCACTGCTCAAGAAGACAAGTTTTGAGACGAGCCCAGAAGAGGAATGAGGGACAATGCGAATCCTTTGTTGTTAATCTTGAAGGTGGAGTTGGATTATCTTATCATGGGTCTGGATTCTGGAGTGTAGATTTGAGAATCCATGTTTTGACAGAGAAGAGTTGAGAGTACTGAGAGGAAACGACAACGAGCGACAGCAGGAGAAGACAACGGTGGCGCAACGGGAATTTGATCGTCATAGTAACAGGGACCTCGGTGACGAGTCGAGGAGATTGATGGCGCTGATGGCGGAAACGACCTCGGTGCCTGATTGATGGTGAAGGCGGCGGACTGGAGGCAGGGACTTCAAGGACACTGCAGATTCACAGCCTTCGGAAGCGGTGGCGACAACGAGTAACTGGGGACGACTCGGATCGACGATGCCTGGGTTGAGCGCACGGCGGGAGGATTTTCTTCCCAAGTGGCACAGTCCGATTTGTTTATCCTACCCAGGGAACGATGGTGAGATGAAAGATAACTTAATTTAATTTTTTTTAATTGACATGTCATAAAAAAACCGACGGAGTTAACGGAGTCTGACGGTGGGTGACTAACGGTGACTAGTGGTCAATTAAAAAAAAATAATTTGGGTGGTAAACGTGAAAAATTTATGTAATTTGATTGACCAACCGTGTAATTTAGCCATTTATCAAGTATAAAATATTGAAAATTTTAGTGGATGAATTTGATAAAAAGTTTAGTCAAGTGACGATTTGATATTAACACAAAACTTAAGTGACCATTTTGGCAAACAGTCCCTTCCCTAACCCTTCCTTAGAGTCAGGCCGCAGTCTCTAAACCCTCCGAAACCCTCTGCATTCGAACTTCAAAGCTTTCCAAGAATCTCAGCCAAACGGAGTTGCCGAAAGCTCGAAACGAAGGCAAAACTCTGCATTAGCAGTGGCGGCGGAAGCTGCTCCACTTCCTCAAAATGATGCGGTTACTGTGCCGCCGAATCCCCGAACCTTGCCGCCCCGGTCACCACCACCGCACCTTAGTCGATTTCGCCGCAATTAAGCACGTCCGCGACCGGGGATTCGACCATGCCGTGGAGAGGGAAATGCATCTGAAGCCTCTATTGCAGCTCAAGAACTTCATAAAATCGGAGCCGGCAAAGTCTCTGCCGCTTCCTGTCATCTCCCAACACAAGGATTCCCTCCAGATACCCACTCGCCCCATCGAGTTCATCCGCAAATACCCTTCGGTCTTCGAGGAATTCCACCCCGGCGGCTTAGGGATTCACCCCCACATCAAGCTCACCCAACAGGTACTCGATCTCGACGCTGAAGAGCAATTAGTTTACCAGAGCGAAAGTTACAGGCAGAATGTTGCCGATAGACTTGTTAAGCTGGTAATGCTAGCGCGAATTGATAAAATTCCGTTGAACGTTCTTGATTGCATAAAATGGGATCTGGGTTTGCCTGATGATTACGTGAAAAGCATAGTTCCTGAGTTTCCTGATTACTTCAGGGTTGTGGGTAGCAAGAATTCGTCGTCCCGGTTGGGGCCAGAGATGGCATTGGAGTTGGTATGTTGGTGTGATGAATCTGCGGTTTCAGTGATGGAGAAGAAGGCCAAAAGTGGAGGTAAGGTTTACGAAAAGGGAAAGCCTCTTTCTTTCGAGATGCAGTTTTCGACAGGTTTTGAGATGGACAAGAAGGTGAAGAAGTGGTTTGATGAATGGCAGAAGTTGCCTTATATCTCTCCATATGAAAATGCAACACACCTCGGCTCTACTACTGATGAGGCGGATAAATGGGCAGCCGGAGTTTTGCATGAGCTTCTGAATCTGTTTGTTTCAAAGAAGGCTGACAAGGAGGATTTGCTATACGTGGGAGAGTGGTTGGGCATTCGATCATGGTTTAAGAGAGCATTGCTTAACCACCCTGGGATATTTTATGTTTCTGGTAAATTGGGAACATATACAGTAGTTCTAAAGGAGGGGTATAAAAGAGGATGGCTAGCTGAGAAGAACGAACTTGTTGATATTAGAAGTCGATACATGCATCTTATGCACTTGGTGCCCGAGGGTCATCATAAAGCAACTACCAATGCCCCTGCTCGAAACAAGAAAGAAGAGAAGAAGACATCTAAGCAACCGGGAGAGAAAGATGATAATCTTGAAAAGGATGCTGCTGCTTCTAAAGTATCCGACCTTGATGATGATAGTGATGATGAAGATGCATATGAGGATGATGATGAAGAAGAAGATGATGATGATGATGATGAAGTAGCGGATAAGAACCGTGGTCGTGGAAATGCTGAAATCAAGAGGGGGAGAGCAGGTGATGTAAGGAATAATGATGTGAGGGGACCTTCAAGGAGTCCAAGAAGAGGAAGGTCAGATGATAGACCTTACAGGAAGAGTATGGATGTGAGAGCAGAAGATTCCAAAAGAACTGAAACACGAAGGAATTTGGACACAAGGGGGCGTTCAAGGGATTCAAGAAGTGAACTTCCGGATGAGAAACCCCGTAGGAATATGGATATGAGGGGACCTTCAAGTGGTCCAAGAAGAGAAAGGTCAGTTGATAGACCATATAGGAAGAGTATGTATGTGGGAGCAGAAGATTCCAGAAGAACTGAAACACGAAGGAATTCGGACACAAGGGGGCGTTCGAGGGATTCAAGAAGTGAACTTTCGGATGAGAAACCCCATAGGAGTATGGATATGAGGGGACCTTCAAGTGGTCCAAGAAGAGAAAGGTCAGTTGATAGACCTTATAGGAAGAGAATGGATATGAGAGCAGAAGATTCCAGAAGGACTGAAACACGAAGGAATTCGGATGTGAGGGAGCGCTCAAGGGATTCAAGAAGGGAACACTCAAATGAGAAACCTTATAGGAAGAGTGCAAATGAAGCGAGGTCAGACCATTCCCAAACAAGTGGCCCCCGTTCACGGAGTAATTTCAGGGGAAACACGGGGAAAAGGGCAGATTCCCCTAAGAACATGAAGAAATCTGTAACTGATGAGAGTATTGCTAGTTAGTGTTGAAACATAAATTTGGCAGGTTAGTTTTGGCATTCCTTGAGTTGTTGCCCTCTTCATTTTGCCTATTTGAATTTCAGACACATGCTGCTCGTAGTCTCCTTCATTTGCTGTTGAGGAAAAAGTTTCTGATATGGTCTGCAGCTCTAACTTCCTATTCGGCTTTGAGATGATCATAGCTGGTGAAGATGATTAATTAACGATATAATGTTGCCATGTAACTGGTGATTTGGTTCCCATCTCCATTTTGATACTCTAGTTAGAAAGAAAACAGAAAGATGATAGTGTTTCATATGCACTTATCCAAAGAACTTATTTGTCCTCTACCTTTATCCATGAAACTGTCTGCAGGCATTGCAACCCAGATGGGTTTTCTTCAGGTTCATGAGGTTCGAAGTGGGGTTTACTATAATTATACGGGAAGAAGAAACAAGTTTTCCAAATGAACAAATTGGCTGGCTGCTCGAATGAAAGGCAAGTTCCTATAAACCAGAGGATCTTCTTATGTCTGTTGCTTAGTGGTTGCTGCATTTCTCTGCAACTTAGCTTGTTGTCGTTGTTTCAGAGGCTGCGGCAGTTCGAGACTTTGTTCGTTGTCACCATTTCAAAACCCCAGTTAGCCTACCCACACGAGCATTAGCAGTCAAGCCACTCCAATGGCCAATTAGCCACTGCAACAAGGACACCTAGTCGTCTCTTTCAGGCGGGCTCGCTCCTTCAAGCGCCGCTACAAAACAGAAGGAATACATGAACATCTGACATGCAAATGGCTTCCTTCTCAGCCATTAGGGCGTATCAGACAGGCCAGTTGCAGTCTTGCCCCAGTTCAGCAACATATCCTGCATCACCATTTAAAACAGTGCAAACTTGCAATGAAGAAGAAGATGATGATCTTCATTTAAAACGCTAACTCGTTTGATTCCAATTTAGTTAGTTATGTTTCCTATGCTAAATTTGCGGCCAAATCCATGGCCGATAGAGGTTGTCCATCACATTTTAATAACTCGCATGCAAGCCAAATCATGTGCCCTGAAATTTTTTCTTCTGTCTCTTAAGAGTCATTTGCTTGTTGGATTTTTGGCATTATGAATTTGAAGAGTCTATTGTTTGTATTGTATGATAAATTTGATGATATAATTATGATTGATTTGTTATAAATATAACTAGTCATCAAGAATTGACAAATTTTACTCCAATATGTAGGATTTACAAGTACGAGGGGTCCACAGATTTTGATTAAAAAAAATTGAACAAATTTGTGGACCCCACGGATTTAATACTTAAATCATGATTGGGATTTGGCTAAAATTAATCATGATTGGGATTTGAGTTCCAAATCCATCAAGCAAACGATCTTGCCCCGATCCGACCTCATCAATTAGTAGTTGTCCCATTCAGATGACAAATACATCGTGAAAACAAGATTGATATGTGATTTTTTTTTTTTAAGGAATCAAACCAATAGGCAAAACATGAATTGTCAACATACGTGATATGTGACCCTTTACTTATTTCGGTTGTTCTTCTTTTTTAATTAAGAAGCTTGTCATACTTACTAAATAAGTTCTCGACTCTAACGTTTACTAATGTGACGAATTTCTTTTATCTAGTACGTAACAAATATGATAAACCATATAGTACAAAATTATTATTAGAAAATTTTAATGTGAGCTATAAATATCTCCCTAATTTTACACAACAGTTAAAATTATTTTGTGAGCTATAAATATTTTACATACAGGTTAAGAGAAAAAATTATTCTTATGTGATAATGTAACATGTACGTGTAAGACAGACTCAGATAATGACTTAGTTTTGCATAATTTTGGTGTTAATAACATTCATTATGTAGAAAGATCTGCATAAGTCATTTATCATGTAAAAATTTTACTCAACAATCTTACATAACAATTACATAAAACAGGTTTCGAAAAGTGCATATTAGAGGTTATGCGATCAAATTGCAAAACATATCAAAGTATTAGGAAAAAATGTCGGAATAATCATCCTTTTTGATAATGTTGGAATAATCATCCTATGTGTTAGTTTTGTCCTGTTGTAGATTTTTTAATAGTTTTTGAATGTTTGTCTGAGAAACTATTAGAAATGTTTTTTATTATAAGATGTCATATAAAATTGCTAAAAAAAGATTTTCAGTATAAAATATAATAATTCATAGGAACGGACCTTTGGCTCTCTGGCCTCTGGCCTCTCTCCTCTGTTTTGGCTCGCTGTTCGGCAAATGGCTGATCGGGGCCGTAGCGGCGGTTTTTGCCACAAGCTGGAAGAATCAAATGGCGGAAGGTTGGCAGGTGCATCAAAACCCGAGAAGTTTCAAGGCAAGAACCAGGGCAGGGAAGGCTGGCCTCCCTAGAACTGTAAAGACACCTTCGCCGGAAGAGACTATGCGAGCGGTGAAATGGCGAACAGATTGGCGTCCTAACCAAAATAAACGCTTGCGTTCTTCTATAGAAGTTGGAAGCCTGGAGGAACAACCGCTTAAGAGACTACGACATAAAACCAAGAACCAATGGCGATTCTGGCTCCCTCATTCGTCGGAGATGGAAGGGGAAGAACCACTTCGAGCCCCGTTCGCGGGAGGAAACTCGTCGGAACAAATACCTAATTGTGAACAACTGGCACCAGATGCTGGCCTTGATCGGCTACTGGCAGTCGGAGAGGGGATTTTCCCCAAGAAATTAGACAGGGCAGACAATCAATTTGATCAAGCTGATCAGATTCCCTCGGGAGGTGATTGCCCCTGTGTGCGGCTGGAGGAGGAAAGGGTGGCTGCCCAGAACGAGCCCTCCATGGCAAGCTCCGCCGCGGAGCAGAAGAGTGATGGGGTGGCGGCCGCCGCGCTTCTTTGCCAGCGGATGTGGAGGCACGATGCTAGGGCGATTAGGATAGGTTCGAATCAACCGACCCCTCTTCTGTTGTGCGGGATCTTCGGGAGAGATATCCGGAGAAATTTGCTAAGACATCCTAAGCGGCATAGGTCTCCGAAATCAAGTGGAATTCGAATTCCAAATAATCACTGGGAAGCCCGTCTCTGCCTGGGACACTCGGACTATTCAGTCTATAAAAACAGAGGGCTGAAGTCTACCAGGCCACCAAATCTTGAGCGGTGGTGTGCGAGTTTTTCACAAACCCAACCGACCGTCACGGCGGCTCACTTGTCCCGGCGGCGACGGAAGCTGCAGAGCGGTGGGTTTTGGCCTTCGGGCTAAACCGCGTCGATGAAATTACCCTAGGGGGAAAGGGAAGTGGGGTAGCGATGCTGGGGAGGAAGGGGCTCCTGGGCCGGGTAGGCCTGGCCGCCTCCATGGGGCCGGTAGTTTGGCTGGGCCGTGGGGCCTTAGGTGGGCTTTTTGGGCCGGTTGGCCAGGTGGGCAGTCCATCCTCTATTGGGCCAGCTGGGTCTGTCTTTGCCTTAGGGCTTACTAAAACCAGACCCCCAAGCCCAGTTTCCGTTGTTTCAAACTCAAAAATTATGAATCCTTTGAGTTTACTAGCGTTGAGCCCATTGAAGGAAATAACCACTTTTAATGGGTCTAATGAGCTACTTGTCTATGATTGGCAGGTGAATATGGCGTCTCGAATTGCTGAGGACCAGGTTGTCGAGTTCTCACTGGAGGAAGTCCAATCGGTGAGGTTTCGAACCTCTAGGACTCTTCTAGGAAGGCTCTTTTCGGAGGCCCAGTTCACTGCTGCGGAATTGAAAGAGGGACTTGTAGAAGCATGGCGGGTAAAAGGAAACCTTAGGGTTTCAATTACGAAATTTGGCTTGTTCGAAGTGGTGTTGCCTAGTGATGAAACAAGGGTGTGGGTCCTGAAACGGTCACCCTGGATTGTCAAAGACAGGATCTTCCATCTTCGATCCTGGACACCAGCGATCTCCAGGCACACTTTTGAGGAGTTAGCTTTTGCACCCTTTCATGTTCAACTCTGGAATGTGAAGGAGGACTGCTGCACTAAGCAGTTTGGCCAGAAAATGGCATCAGGAAAGATCGCGCAGGTCTTGGAAGCAGACGTCTTCGCGTCAAAGGAGACAGATGAGCACTTCGTAAAAGTGCATGCTCTCATTAATTTTGCTAGGCCATTGCGATCTCAACTTATGGCGGTTAGCGAGGAGCTTGGCGAGTTCTGGGTTAATCTCAAGTACGAGTTCCTTCCCACCGTCTGCTTCCACTGTGGGCGTGTAGGGCATTCTAAGCGTGACTGTGTCTTTGATCCCCCTCCGGGGAAAGAACGCTTTGGCCCTCACATGACAACGAGGAAGATCGGGCGCAAGGTGTACATGGAGGAGGATAGCTTTTCAAGGTTTCGGGGTACAAGCAAGTCAGTGTGGATCAACAGGAATGTCCGCATGCAGAATGATGGTAACGCAAAGATTGTCAAGGGGCGAGTGGAGGAGGTGCCGAGGGTGCTCTCTACAAATACTCCGATGCTGGGAGGACTCTATCAGGGGGGGCATCATGACCGGCCTTCAGAGCCAGACGAGCAAGTTAACATGACCTTCAGCCTAGGCTGCGAGAACCCACCAGCCAGAAGGCTGGGGATCAGACTAGTCCTAAAGGATTTAGCTTCAAGAAGTCCCCTAGGGTGAAGCTTGGTGGAGGGGTGAGGATACCGCAGAAGAAGCGGTCACCTAGGAAAAATACCAATATGGTTCAGCAGGATGCTCAAGGTCGTAAACAGACGAGTAGACGCAAGAATCAAGCTCCCCAATCGAAGAAGGAGATGGATCCATTGGAGCTAGTCATCGAGCAATCCAGAAGGAGGAGACTGATACTGCAAGATGAATATGAAGAGGAGGAGAATGTGAGGCCTGCCGACATATTGAAGAAGCATGCTCAGGCGACTGTTGGCAAGGCAGGGGGCGCGGGTTCTCGGGTTCGCCTGCGGTTGAGAAAAGAAGGAGCTCGCTCCCCACGATCGTCGCCCACCCAGGTTGATGAGTCTAATCCTACTGGGGAAGAGCAGGATTTGGAGGACAAAGATTATGGGGATGACTTTGATAACCCCAAAATGGAGAAACAACATCAGGGTTCTGATTCGGCTGAGGACCCACCACTGGAGGAGTCCCATGCTTTTGAAATCAAGCGCCGATCACCCTCTGGTGTTACCAAGGAGGTCTCGCATGTCAAGTGGTGGAAGCTTTTGAAGCAGGACTTCACATTGACCAAGCGGAGCCTTCCTGCTGGAAAGAGGCGAGCTTGGGTCTGAATGAGTATGGGTCTAATCTGGAGGACCCAATTATGGAGAATAGGAAGCGAGTGATTGAGGAGGTGGAGGGGGCGGTGGGTGACCCTCCTACTCCGAAGAGACAATTTGTGGAAGCAGTGGATGCCCAGGAAAAGGTGAAGGAAACCAGCCTCGAGTGGCCCCCAGTGGATAAATGAGGCTTCTGGCCTGGAATGTGAGAGGAATTGGGCCATCCCTCACATTCCATTCTGCTTTAGGGCTTGTTCATTCTAATAAGCCGGATGTAGTGTTTTTTTCAGAGACACGGTCGAGCCGGCGTGTAGTGGCCCGCCGTATGCGGGGTTTGGGTTTTGAGACTTTCTAGTTTTTTTGTTGATGCAGTCGATGCATCGGGTGGGTTAGTTGTTGCTTGGGCCCCTGGGGTTAACACTTCGGTGTTTTGTTCTTCCCAGTTTTATATTTGTTTGCAAATTAATGAAAATGATTTTTCGTACTTGGTGTTTTTTGTTTACATTAGTTGTAATGTGGCTGATCGAGATAGCCAGTTGTCTCATTTGCGTGAACTGTGTGCGGATATTCACCAACCATTCGTGATCATTGGTGATTTTAACGCCATTCTCCATGAGGGAGAAAAAGATGGGGGTCGGGTTTGGAATGCGGCTCAAGCCACCAGTCTGAGAGATCTAGTTCATGACTTGGGTCTCCATGACCCAGGGTACCAAGGGGACCAGTTTACCTGGACCAACAGGCGTATGGGGGAGGCGTGTATTCGCGAACGGCTAGATAGGGCTCTTTGCTCCCAGTCCTGGATAGATACGTTTCCTGAGACTTTGGTCAAACATTTTACGGACCATGGGTCTGATCATCGTGCCCTCCTTCTTGCGGACAAGCCTTACACTCGAAATAGCCGACCCCTGTTCCGGTTTGATGCTCGTTGGGCGGAGAATCCGGAAGTCAGGGCTATGGTCCGTTATGTCTGGCAGGAGGAAGTGCAAGGTACCCCCATGTTTCGACTCTGGGAGCGCCTTAATAAACTCTGTCATCTGCTATACGATTGGAGTAGGGCGGGCACCACAAACTCCTTGCGAAATATTAAGACTCTCCAAGCTGAGGTTGACCACGTCAAGTCCATCCATCCGGTGGATTGGGATGCGGTTCGATCCCTGGAAATGGAACTATCTCGTCAGTGGGATGCAGAGGAAGTATACTGGCAGCAAAAATCCAGGGTTCGTTGGCTAAAGAAAGGGGACCAAAATTCAGCGTATTTCCACACGGTTACGCGTACGCGTCGTAAAAGAAATTTTGTCGATGGTCTGCGGGATGAGGAGGGTGAATGGGTTACAGACGAGAGTGGGAAGGCTAGGATTGCTACCAGCTTTTACCAAACTCTCTTCACTTCGGAGTCCCAGGTGCCAAATATGGCGGAGAAGGTGGCAAATCTCCCCATTCCTCAAATGGTTACACCGCAAATGAATGAGATTTTAACGGCGGTGGTTTTACCAGAAGAAGTTCGGAAAACGGTTTTTTCCATGGGATCGAAGCAGGCTCCGGGATCTGATGGTTTTACCGGAAAAATTTTCAAAGCTTTTTGGGACGTGGTGGGTATCTTGGTGATTGAGGCGGTTTGCTCTTCTTTTCGACTAGTCGAATGTTACGGAGCTTCAATCATACGTGGCTTACGTTGATCCCTAAAGTGGATTCTGTGGAAAATGTCCGCCAGCTGCGTCCGATCAGTCTCTGCCAGTTCGTTTATAAAGTAATAACCAAGATCATGGCAGAGCGGCTTGCTGGCTTACTTCCTCAACTTGTTTCTGAGGGGCAGAATGGGTTTATCAAGGACAGGCAGATTATTGATAATGTCCTTCTTGGGCATGAGTTAATGCATTATCTTAAAATAAAACGGCAGGGGAAGAAGGGGTACATGGCTCTAAAGGTTGACATGGAAAAGGCCTATGATAGAGTTGAATGGCCTTTCCTTATGGCTGTTTTGGATAAGATGGGTTTTAACTCTGTCTGGCGAGGATGGATACACGAGTGTCTGAGCTCTGCTACTTTTTCGGTTCTGATGAATGGTACGCCTTCGGGCTTTTTCGGGTCCACTCGGGGACTCAGACAGGGAGATCCGTTGTCTCCTCTCTTGTTTTTGCTTTGCACGGAGGGGTTTGCGGCCCTTCTTCGGAAGGCAATCTCTGAAAAGAAGTTGGAGGGGGTGAAGGTGGCGCCGCGTGCTCCTCGGATCTCGCACTTGTTTTTTGCCTATGATTCCTATCTATTCCTGCGAGGTTCTCTTCAGGAGTGCGAGAATCTAATTGTGGTGCTAAATGAGTATGAGGAGCTGAGTGGGCAGCGGGTTAATCTGGAAAAATCGGCAGTCTGCTTTAGCAAAAATGTTGCCTTGGAGGATCAGGATTTTTTGGCTGCGATTCTTGGAGTCGGAGCAGTAGGGGTACATGATAAGTATTTGGGATTGCCCACGTTGATTGCTCGATCCAAAATGGAGACATTCCGATATTTGGAGGAGAAGTTACTGGCGCGTCTGCAGGGCTGGAAGCAGAAAATTTTATCCTGGGCGGCTAAGGAGACCTTAATTAAGTCAATTGCTTTGGCTTTGCCCCTATATGTTATGTCTTATTTCCGGTTGCCCCTCTCTCTTTGTCGTTTATTGGATAGACATGTGGCCCTCTTCTGGTGGAGAGCTGAGGAGGGACACTCCAAGATTCGATGGGTGTCCTGGCGGAACCTTTGTCGGAGTAAGCATGAGGGGGGTCTTGGATTTCGAAGGTTTGAACATTTTAATCAGGCCCTCTTAGCAAAGATTGGCTGGCGTATTCTCCAAGAGCCGCACTCCCTCCTGGCACAGGTGTATAAAGGGAAGTACTTTCCTCAAGGATCTTTTCTATCTGCTACTGCCCGGTCTAGGCCGTCTTGGGGTTGGCAGAGTATCCTGTTTGGGCGCCAGCTTTTGGAGGCAGGGTTAAGATGGCAGATCGGAAATGGTCTTTCGGCCTCCCTGGTGCATTCTAATTGGATTCTTGGGTTTCAGTTGGATCCTCCTTGCTATAATCCTCGTGTCCTGCCAAATGGGGGGGATCCTCTGGTGGCGGAGGTTATTTGTCAAGGGGAAGGGCGTTGGGATGAGAATAAGCTTAGTCAATGGTTTGACCCTTCTGTCTGTCGGGCCATTAAAGCTATCCCACTTCCGAGGCGGAGTGTGGATGATAAACTTATATGGAATAGCACTGCGGATGGGGTTTTCTCGGTTAAGACAGCTTACCATCTGGCTGTTGAGCTTGACAGGAGGAGGGGTGGGTGGCGAGACTCGGTGAGTTGGATGGATAGACAAAGCTGGATTCGGTTGTGGGAAGCTAAAATTCCCCCCAAGCTTAAAGTCTTCTCTGGCAAATTTTGAACCGAGCCTTGCCAACCACAGAGGCGCTCAATGACAAGAATGTTCCTGTGCTCCCCCGATGTCCGGTTTGCTGGGATGGTCCCGAGACTATGGAACATTTATTTCTTTACTGCCCGGTTGCGAGGGCTCTCTGCGATTTATCGGGGTTGGAGTATTTAGGTGAGGCTTTGCCTCGGCACACTTTTCCGCTATTTGTGAAGCGGATGCTTGCCCTAGTCCATGATCAATCGCTGTTTATGGCGGTGGTCGCCGTTCTTTGGCGGATCTGGCGTTTGCGGAACTGGGTTGTCTTTGAGGGCAAACAGTTTGGGCTTCTGGCTTTAATGCGCCAATTTCATCAGCAAATTGAGGAGTGGATGGGGCTGCCGGTGGACCAGCAGTCACGGGTATCGTGCCAGGTAGTCCAGCCAGTGATCCAAATGGATGATGCTTGGTTGGTTTGCATGTGGGATGGGGCAACTAGGAGGGGTTCTCACTCGGCTGGCGGGATGGTTCTTTGTGGTCCAGGAAGGACGGTCCTTCGGGCTAAAGGTGTGCAATTTGCTCAAATTGATGATCCATTGGTGGTGGAATTACTTGTGTTGCGTGAGGCGATCACTTGGTGTTTAGAGGGGGGTTTGTCCGCTGTTCGGTTCGAGGGTGATGCGAAGGTCATTATTGACAAGATTAATCAGGCGGATTCGCGGGACAATCGCTTGGGGGCAGTCCTGGACGAGATTTGTCAATATTTTGCTGCCTATCCAGGGTTTTCTGTGCGGTTTATAGGTCGGGAGAACAATAGGGTAGCACATTTAGTTGCTAGAAAAGCCCTTTCTTTGTACCCAACTGGGAACCGTTGTTTTGATTTCAGGGTCTGGCTGCTTTCCAGGATGTAACTATCTTTTTGAGGGGTTAATATATATTATCTTTTGACAAAAAAAAACAAAAAAGGAACAGACCTTTGTTAGATTTTTTTTTATATTAAATAATTTTAATTTTCAATTCATGTTATTTTTAAAAATAATATAAATTATAGAAAATAGTATTTTTCTGAAATAAAATTAAAATATGGTTAAAAAATCTTGTATTTTCAAAATATTTTTTCGCTGAAACTCCAAGCCAAGTCTGAACTTTTGCTCCAGCTTTTGAATGAGCTTTTCAAAAGGAGAGATTTCAGAGATATTTGGCCCTATTTCAATTTTGAAGCTGGAAAACACCTTTAAAGATTGGGCTAAACATAAGCTAAAATAATTTTAGCACTAAGAAATAACATTTAAAAAATGATTTTGTTTGTCTCCTTACCTATAATTAATGAGAAATTTTACAATGCTATATAGTATGGGTGATATAGGGTTTTGCCTTTATGATACAACTTAAAAGTGTACATTTACGTTATGGTACAACTTCAGATTGTACATATTTTTTTAAATTTTTTATACAAATTCTTTTATGGTACAACTTGAACTTGTACCTTTATGTGATGGTACAACTTCAAGCTGTAAAGTTGTACCATAACATAAGGGTACAAATTGTTTTATGGTACAACCTAAACTTATACATTTAATGTTATATTACAACTTTAAATTAAAGTACTAATACATAGTAGAAGTGCTCATAATTAATTTTCAACTTGCCTATCTTGCAAGTACTAATACACGTCCTGTGTTTTATTTGGAACAACTTGCCTATCTTGCAATTACCCTCTTCTCTGTTCTTATATGAGAGTGTTCTTTAACTTCTCCTATGATGGAAATTAGAGGACCGCTACCGGCAATGTGGACTTTATGTGCGGTTGGGATTTTGAATTAATATGTCAGAGAGGTTTCATGAAATTGGAATTCTCATCTCAAAACCTGTCTCTCCTCAATTGGAGCAAGCCTGGCAAGTACCATCTTCTGGTCCGACCGAGGTGCGGATGTCATGGAAGGGCCGGCAATTCATCGGGAAGAAAACGTCGAGAGGAAGATGGGAGGCGGCCGGAACTTGACCAGCCGTCAGGAATATCGTCGGCCGACCAGTATTCAGGTCATCATAGGAAGCTGGGGGACAGAGTTCCACGACTTGAGATTATGGGAAAATCAACGGTTGGACGGGCGATTAGCAACCTGCCACCCGCCACCCACACAGAGAAATCCAACTCCGGCCACTTCTTTGCCTACCCACCACCGTCTATGATTCCAATGATATGCTCGGCAAGGGAAACCACTTGTGTAGCCGCTAGTCAATTTACGTCGGTAGACCAAGGGAGATTGAAGAGAAGAATCGGGCGGAAAAAGTCGGCGGGCCATAGGAGGCTTATGCTACACCCGTGCATAGCCTACTGGACCCCTTAAGCAAGATAGACACTTTATATGTTCTAATAATTAACACCTACTTCAAATTAAGATGCTATTATATGGGATTTTTCCAGAAATAGCACCTTTAAAGAAAATTACAAAAATAGCACGCACTCAAAAATATTTACAAAAATAGCACCCTTTTTTATGGACCACATGCACCTCCAAGGTGCGTTTTATATGTAAACCGCAGTTGGAGGGTGAGGTTTATTATCCTGGGCCAAAACCACATCTTGGCCATGCGGTTTCAGGTCTGACCTACATAAATCGCATGGCCTAGGTGCGGTTTTGGCCTGACCTACCAAAACCGCACCTTGGAAATGCAGTTTGCTTCTCCAAAACAAAACCGCATCCCCAAGGTGCGGTTTTGCCACACAAACCGCACCCCCCAGTGCGGTTTGTGTGTCAATTATTTTTCGACACCCGACATATAGCCATGCAGAATAACAGACGTGGGGCTGCATGGCAGACGAAAACCGCATCTCTAAGGTGCGGTTTTCATCAATGATTTTGCCTATAAAAGACTGCACGGAAAACCTCTTCTCTTCACACCTCTCCTTCTCCCTTTTCAATTTTCTGTTCTAGCTCTATATTTCTTTAGTGTTTTTGCAATTAACGTTAACTCGTAAGTTTATTTTGTATTACTTTTTATTGTGATTTTTTATTTTTGATTTTTATGATATTAACTGAACTACAGTTTTTTTGCAGATGGCATTCCAAAAGTTCACGCATGGCTTACGGTGGAATGGTTACTCGGAAGAGACCGGAAAGGGGGTCACCTACGTCGGTGGTAATTTTCAGAAAATGAAGGTCACTACCAGACCGCTGCTTGAGGACCTCCATCAAATGTGCACTAACGTTACTTGCATGGATGGCACGAGAAGAGTTGATCGTATGGTGTACTGATATCCAAACAGAGAAAGTGGGTCATTGTGGCATGAGGAATATCTCATAACCACTCCGGATGAAGTAGATTCCATGCTCGAATTCTTGAGGTCCAACAATCTTTCCAAAGCCGAGATGTTCGTTTACACCGAGGCGGCCGTTGGCGTTGGAGGTCATTCTGGACACGGTCAAACGTCTGGTATCCATGGTGGAGGTGAATTATATGGCGATCATCTCTACCAAAGTTACCATGATCCTCATTCCTATTTTCAGTACCAAGAGCAAGGTGAAGGTCATCATCAATCTTTGCCGTCATATGAAGAAGAAGTTCAACCGGACCTCCCCAACCAACCTCAGTACAACTTCCAATCAGGCAGCGACAGTTTTCACAACTAGGAGCTGATGAAGGTGCCTTTCATGAGCTGGATCAGATGGAAGCTGCCCTGCCAGCACCAGTTAGTGACCCCTCCGATGAAGAAGGAGAGAACAACGTCAGTGCAGGCAGCTCTGACCCTCTTGAAGGTGCTGATAATTCAGGACCAGAGTCAGACTCAGATAATGATGATGAGGTGGCTCGTGACCTTGTACCAGTCCCCTACTACAATCACATTCCAGACGACAATTGGATGGTCGACAGCGACATGGAGCCGCCAGAGCTCCCAGTATGGGGTCCACTCACTGGGTTTATGAAGGGCCAACAATTTGGCTCGAAGTAGGAGGTGCGGCACGCCATTGAGACTGAAGCAATGACTCGGCATTTTGAATGGCACACAACTCATTCCAACACTAAAAGGCTCTTAGTCAGATGCCATAATCATCACGAGGGGTGCAATGTTAGGATTCGGGCCATCAACAGCAAGAGACACGACCACTGGGTCATATCCCGTGCGGTGAACACACACACATGTGTGTCATCCATAACTTCCTAAGGCCATCGACAGTTGAAATCCAGGGTGGTTGCTATGGCTATCAAGCATCTAATTGAGCAAGATCCGGACCTGAAGGTGAAAGTCATAATCTCTGACATTGCAAGTCGTTATGGTTATATGATTAACTATAAGAAGGCGTGGCATGGAAAGCAGAAAGCTCTGGCCGCCGTCTTTGGTGATTGGGAAGAATCATATGCATTCCTTCCCAGGTTAATTTTGGCATTGGAGGCGTCTAACCCTAGTACTGTTATCTCCCCTCGATACCAAGATGAAGAGATACAACCCCCAGAGCCAGGTAACAAACGCCATTTCAGACGACTTTTTCGGGCATTCAAGCCATCTATTGATGGTTTTCGCTTCTGTGTCCCTGTGATCCAAGTGGATGGTACATTCCTTACCGGCAAGTACAAGGGCACTCTCCTGATTGCCAGTGGGGAGGATGCAAACAGACAAGTCTTTCCTTTAGCCTTCGCCATTGTTGAGGGAGAGAACGCTGATAGCTATGGATGGTTTTTCTGACAAATTCAGCTCCACGTCACTAGGAGGACGAACCTGACAATAATCTCTGATCGGCACGCCGGTATTAGAGCTGCCATCTTAGGTTTAGATCCAGCCTGGAAGTGGTGCCAAAGGTGGTGCATACGACACTTCAAGAGCAACTGGAACCATCATTTCAAGCGGAAGAAGCTTGCTGATAATTTGTGGTGGATTGGTAAGCTCTCTATTAGCCATTTAATTTTGTCAGCTAACAATATCTTGTAATCAGGAGAGTAGTGCACTTGTTAGACTCTTTCTAAAGAGATGCATGCCTAAGGAAATGGGGTTTTAAGCGATTATCATGGTCCTCCCATTTCCTGGAAAAATCGGGTTTTTAAGCGATCTTCGAATCCCCCCTTTTTCTGTCAAACATGCTGTGTTTCTAAGTAGATGTATACCTCTCCTAAGAGTCTAACGAGAGTGCCTCCGGGTTGTTCGAATTGTACTAAACTGCCGAAAAGTGACTAACGATATACTTTTTTGTGTGTTCCTCAGCGGTTGCCTACCAAGAGAAAAAATTTCAGGAGAAGTTGCAGAAGATGCGCGAGTTATGCCCTGAAGGGGTACAGTGGCTGGATGGACACAACCTATCCATGTGAACATTTCATAAAGATGGATTTGGCGATCGACTTTGATGCCGTTAAAATGCCTAATCGGGTCCAACCGTGTCCTTTTGAGAAAGGGCAAGATAGCTGGGTGGAATGGGAGCACATTGGTCGTACCCCTGTAGCGGAGTATTGTTTGTGCCTCCTAGCGAAAATTTACACGTTAATTATTATATATTAGTAAGGGTTTTTTCTTGTAACTAAATTAATTAAATTAAATTATTTAACTTCGAGTAGAATTTTATTATCATAAAAATACATTTCATATAATTAACATAATAACATTCTAAATAAATAATAATTTAAAAAGATACATACATATTATCATAAAACTAACATCCTAAATTAATTAACATAATAACATTCTAAATGAATAATAATTTAAAGAGATACATACATATTATCGTAAAACAAACATACTAAATTAATTAACATAAATAACATTGTAAATGAATAATAATTTAAAGAGAAACATACATATTCAAATATTTTAAATTAATAGAATTCATTTTGTACACATAAAAATAAATCGTATTGGTTATTTGGTAAATAATTTAATCCTATTGGTTGTTTTAAATAATTTAATCGAATACAGAGCAACACTCGCTAGACTCTTAGAAGAGGTATACATCTTCTTAGAAACGCAGTCTTTTTGACAGAAAAAAGGGGGATCCGAGGATCTCTTAATACCCGATTTTCCCAGGGAATGGGAGGATATGATAATCGCTTAAAACCACATTTCCTTATACGTGCATCTCTTTATAAAGATTCGAAGTAAGTGGCACTATGTATTCGATTAAATTATTGAAAACAACCAACACGATTAAAAATTCAACATAAATTTATTATATTCCACTAAATACATTAGCAAAATAAAAGAAAGACAAATGATGAAGAATTGTATGTATCGGGTGATCGTTCCAAACATCCCTTGACCGATGGTTGGGTTTGTCGTACTAGTCGGTTGGATCCAACGGTCCTTGCTCGAGATAATACCGTTGGTTGTATATATCCACGTCGTCCCCAACCTACAAGAAAATAACAACGAGGTTAGTACATAGATTAATTAAAAAGCTTATAACAACAACAAAAATTAAACCAGAATAATGAGTACGTACCGCTAGAAATTCATCAACATAAACTCCCTCTCCTTGCCACCACTCGCTCATTTTTTCGGGAAATTCGGACAGAGATTCGGCTCGGCGGGTTTTGAGAAAAAAATCAAAGAAATGTTTTCTGATGGCAGATCGGACTTAGCCGCGACCAACAGACCACTATTTCCTAGGCTTTTGGGAGGGGAGGGTTTAGAGAGATAAATTCTAGAGAGAGAAGGAAGAATGGGTTGTAGTGTAAAGAAATGAGAGGGGAAGGGGGTATTTATACTTATCAGACCGCACCCTTCAGGGGGCGATCTGGTAATTTTCCCCTCGTAAAAACTGCTCCCTTCCGATGCAGTTTGCGATTCACGAGGCGCTGACCGCTCCTTGCAGGTGCGTTCCCCGATCCATGGCGCGGATCGCTCTGCTGGCGTGCGGTCCGCCGTCCGATCGCACCTTCATCCAACGGTCTTGAAGACCGTTCAGCAGATAAAACACACCGCATCTTCCTAGTGCGATTCGTGTGCTGACGTGGAATAAACCATACCCCTAAGGTGCGGTCTATTAAAAATGGTGCTATTAGTATAAATTTTTTCGACTGGGTGCTAGTTTTGTAAAAAAAAAAAAACGTGCTATTATTGGAAAAAATCCCTATTATATGGGCATTGACCTTTAGCCAGGTTAATTATACAAGTTTCAATAATGGATCTTTGAGTTTGTTTCATCACACTAGCTAGAATCTTGTGGATCTTTCTTTTAGGAAGTGGTATAGATCCATATACGTAAATGGACATTTTCCAATAATTCGAGTAATTGACACTAATAGGTTTATGACATAGTGTCGGACTTGGTTTGACTGTGAAGTCTCGTATTCAAGTCCGCACGACCCCCAATATTAACAGTTGATTAAAATAGATTGGTACGTTCTATATGTGCGAACTTCAACCCACATAAATTGGCTTTCTGTTTGAGTTACATAGTCTGCAGGTGCTGAACTGCAATGACTACTTTTTAATAAGCGACCTTGCTAATTAATCTCTAATTACCCCCTTAATTAGATTGATTTCTTATTACGATTTGTAGCTAGCAACATATATATAATATATTTATACACATGCACTAAATAAGTTACACGCTAGCGGAGCCACCACGTGTGGCGGGCATCATCGGAGCAAACGAACCGAGCAAAATCGAAGACGACCACTTCTTCCGGCGCGCCGGTCAATGAACGGCGGCAGAGCGGACACGTGGGATGGCGGCGGCGGGTGAAGATTGAGTAGTTTGACCATCGGTCAAGACAAACTTGATGGAACGCATGGCGACACGTCAGCTCCGGAACCGCGTCCCCCTCTTCGATCTTGGACAAGCACACCGCGCATTCGACGTCCTCATCGGCGGTGGCCCCGCCGCGGGGATGGTGGTGAGCGGCGGCGGCGGAAGTTGGGTAGTGTTGAAAATGAAGGTGGGAGTGAGGATGGAAGAAGCAAGTGTGGAGCAGAATTTCCCATCCCCATTTCAAGTAACTCAGCATCACCATTATGCTTCCCAACACTTTCCTCGCATCCATTTCTTATCAAGTCGGGATTTGATCTTCTTTATGGAAGAAATGGAACTTCTTTAGGAGAGAGATGAGTAGTACGACTGGCGGGATGGAGCCGGTATTTATAGAGAGCTGTTGTGTGTAGAAAATGAGGCAACATTATTATAATATTATTATTATTGGAGAGAAAAAGACGACAAAGTTTAGTTTGGTAATGTGTAGATACACATCCATTATTATAATTATTGTGACTTTGATATTGAATTTAATTATATAAATTAGAATTACTACTAGTGATTGGTCAATGTTTCGCCGTGTCTTGTCACGAACATAGACTTCCGAAGTCCGTGCGGCGTCTTGAGGTGCACTAATTCCTCAAGACCAGCATCTCTGCATACGCATGCCAACTGGTTTCGCCCTGCCTTGGGCTCATCAGGGAGACGGCAATAGCCTCCGACCAGTTGTGCCTTCTCTTGCAACGATTCCCTTCATAGCCACATCCTGACTCGGCCATATGCAATGCAACAGGCAGACAACGCCTTATCGCTAATGTCGCCCCCTTTACCCTTCTCATGGCAAGACAACCAGATGGCAGCGTTCTTCAGACGATCAACACGTATAATGATTGTTAGAATCGTGTTTGGTACGAAAAATCCTATTTTTTTTTTTAAAATGAACAAAATGTTCTTAAAAGGTTAGTTATGGCAACGATTGAAAATGATCTCGGAGAGACCGAGAGAAAATCAGAGAGCTAATATGTAATTTTATGTTAAGCAATCGTAAAAAAAAAAAAGTTGCAATTTAGATAACGATGTTTATTATGTTATGTTTATTTTAATATTTTTCGTTTTGTTATATTAATTTATGAATGTATTTATATTTACTTTTATTGTGCTTTATGGATTGCCGGATCCAATCCAACATGTTTAGGTGAAAAATGTTGGTTCAAATAGAATATAGGGTCTGTGTGGTCGTCGTTACTCGTTATCTCTTATCTTCGGTAATATCAAGCGAAGAGAGAGAGAGAGAGAGAGAGACACATGTTTTTGAGGAGAGAGTGACAAACAGAGAGAGATGAATATTTCTCTCCTGAAACGCGTTTGATTTGTTGTGAAGTCTTTTTCAAGTCGAAAACATTGTACGAGGTAACCAATAACTGATTAGCGTTCTGCCGGAAAAATATTGTATGCGCGCGTGGAAAATCTGGCCAAGAAAAATCACAGTCAAGCAGAGTAGTGTAGTGGAGAGAAATTGTGGCTTGTGGGTCGTGCTGCTAAATCCAATGAATTATTCCTCCTTCCTGCCACCACGTGCTAGTGCCACAGTACAAAATGGCACCACATATAATATATAATATCGTACCTGTCTGTCGCATTCTTGTTTGTGGATGCATATGTTCTTCACCTGTGGAAAATCATGCAAAATGTGAAACATTAGCGCTGGGGAAATTAAGCTGCTTTCATTTTGGAAGATGATGTTTCCAACGCCACTTTCTTCTTATATCTTCCTATTTATATTAACCTTTAATTGAAGAGTTATGTTGATGGCGCGGAATTGAAAACAATCACAAGAGATACGAGATTTTACGTGGTATTTCTGTTCGACGTGAACAAGATTAATACACGGTGAGCTTGAACGAGCTCACAGCTGACGATTTTATTATGAGACTACATTGTGACGGCTTGCTTACGACAGGTTCGTAACTAAGCTTTTATAGAGATAGACTTAGAGTTAACACACTGACCCCTAGGGGCGGATACATGGAGGTTTAGGGGTGTCCCGGGACACCCCTAAAATTTGGGAAAACGATTATCCAACCTTCGATAGTAGTTTGTGTGGGTAAAAGAAAATAGTGATAGTGGAACACTCTTAAAATATGGAAAATGATTATTCAACCTCCTATATTATTCTGCATAGGAGTACAAGTAATATTTAAGTGATAGGGTCTATGTGATTTGAACTTGGGAACACTGCTACTATTAGTAAATATAGTTTCAATTAGACTACAACTCATTTGTAGCTATGTTTTAGATCAAAATATAATAGTAAAAGACTATTCTTATCCCCAATTATTTTCAAAACCTAACGATTAAATCCAATTACGGGTTACCCTTGTCTAGTAGGATATGTCACGAGAGATTTGTTGAGCAGTGTATACACCGAATATATTTTACCATTCTTTCATAATACGGAACATGTTTGAACTTTTATTCTAACTTTTACTAGTTGAATATTTTCATATTTAATAATTATTTGATTTAATTTTTAATTTTAATTTTTTTGAAGAGGACACCCCTATTTAAAATTTCCGAATCCGACATTGACTGACCTGACCCGTCCCATCTCTTGAGGGTCAAACAAGGTCAAGAAAGAGACAGGGACGGAACAAGACAGTTATACATCTTGACCCTTCAAGAACGGGTCAGACAGGGTTAGAGACGGGACAGGGACGGGTCAGGGCAATTTTCAGCCCTACCACCACGTGCTTGTTAGTGCCACAATACAAAATAGCACCACATAATACATAATATCGTACCTGTCGCATTCTTGTTTGTGGATGCATATGTTCTTCATTGCTCTTATGCCCTTAATTCCGGCTCAAGATAGGATGCATAACCATGGGTTATGCACCCATCAATAACCAAATCTGGACCCTTCATTTAGAAAATCCAGATCTAAGGATGAATAATTAAAGGTCATTTTTATTTTCCCCACCTTTCTTAATCGGCTCATATCTTTTACGTTTTAACTTCGATTTTTTTTCTTTGCACAGATGGAACGAGTTTATCGTGCTCTACAAAATGAGATCAATTTTCAATATTTTTTTAGAAAAAAAAAATTATGGCTTCTCGGTACCAACTGCATACCATATGGTATCTTCTTCGTTTTTAATTCGTTGTTTGCACAGAAGGGACGAATTCATCATGATCTATTGGATCTATAAATTTCTGGGTGAACAAATTACAAGACCACACAATACTATACAATACCACCCTGGTACGGGGTGGTATCTTGTGGTACACAATGTTAAAAGTCGTAAATGACAGTTAATATACCTCTACTATCATGTATTCAACCATCCTACAGTCTTGGTTTGTTCATACCACCATGGTACGGTTTTCAAATCATAGATATACTCTTATTTCAATACCAGTCAATACCATATGATATAGACTAGTAAAAGATGACTCAATTTTTTTTTGTTCAAAAAATATATTAAAGTGGATATCATTTTGAAGAGCACAATTAATTTGATCTAACTTTGAAAAAAATTAAATTTCGACTTAAAACGAGTGAGAAATCGTCCGTCAAAGATTAAGGAGGGGAAAATTAAAGGCTTTCTAGGAGAGAGAAGAATGCTGATGTGAACGGGTTACTTATAATTACTCACCATAAGGTTACTAATCTGATCCATTCCTCTTAATTCCTCCTCACCTGTGTGGAAAATCATGCAAAATGTGAAACATTAGCGCTGGGGAAATTAAGCTGCTTTCATTTTGGAAGATATTGTTTCCAACGCCACTTTCTTCCTGTCCAACAATGTACTGTACACCGCACTTGAATAACTAATTTCCATTTGTTCTGCACTACTTATTATGACTCGACTTACGTAGAAAACGGGATTTTTAAAGAGTTTCTATACTGTTTTAGGATGAGTCAGGATGGTTACTAATTTTTTAGTTGTCATTGTGGCTACCTATATCTCCACCCTTTATTCATTCTCGGTATTTTTAAACCGACCATCATGATTAAATAAGGATAATTTTGGGGGTGGGGGGGGAAACCACACTAGATTATTCTCCTTAAAATATAACTTTCTATATATTATCCCAAATCCTAAATAATTATTTCAAACCCTACTCCCTCCTCCCCTCACCGCCATCCGCTGATCGTCCTCCCCCCCCCCCCCCCCCCCCCCCCCCCCCCTCTCCTGCACTTCCCTCCCTCCCTGCACCCCACCCTATCACCATTCTCCCCAACCCACCGCCACCTCTCTCTCTCCCTCCCAACCCTACCCCACCAAGTTTGCCGCCCTTCTCCCCTCCTTCCCTCCCCCTCGGCGAGTACGGGATGATGGAGGTTCTCAAAACAATCGACGGCGATGGTCATCCCTTTATCTCCGACCCTCTCGCCTCAATGGTATTGTTTTTGTCGCATTGGTATTGATTTTATTATATTGGTATAGTTTTTGTCGCATTGGTATTGATTTTATTATATTGGTATAATTTTTGTCGCATTGGTATTGATTATCATGTAATGGTATTAATTTGCATGTATTGGTATTGATTAAATCTGCAATGGTATTGGTTTTTGTGAAATGGTATAGATTTATATTGGTACATTGTTTATATTGGTAGTTTTCGTGTAATGGTATAGATTTATTTTTGTAATGGTATTGATATTTTTTTTTAAAATGGTAGTGGTTGTCTAATGGATTGGTAGTGATTTTATGTTTTTTTTTTCCTTTTGCAGAAATATTGAGAAAAATAAGGAAATGAGATATGGCTGGAAATTATCGAAGTGAGAGAAATAAAGAGTATTGTAATTAATATATTTTTGTAAATACCTAAAATATAATTTATTAAAAAAGTTAATTAATATAATTTATTTTTTCATACCCAATTTACCCTTAGTAACCATGGTGATTACTACTTTCTAGTATTCACAGTAACAGCTCCCGAGCTAAGGGTTTGAGACGATGGTGACCAAATGGATTAAGGCACTAGGCGTTCAAGTTGAGAACGCTTCGTGTCACCATAAACCACATGAGCAACAATACAACTTTGTGGCGAATAGCTGATGAATGAAGTAGGGGTGGTTATATGGTCTGGTCAGGTTAAATTGACTCGAATTGATGATCCGGTCTCCGTCCCATCTTTTCGGGAATGTAAGGACCAAAGATTAGATTGGATATAGTCCAGTTTTGATCCGGTCCGGTCTCAATCCGGTCTTGATTTTAGATTGAGCTTGTGGGGATTTGAGTGGTCTGAGGACTTAAAGGGTGAGGAGTTGGTTAAGTTTGGGTATTAGTCTCTCTTATCCGGTTTTCGATCCGGTTCCAAACGGTTTTTTACCTCAAATCTAAGCCCGAATATTGGATGTAATAGTTTGCTATCCGGTTCCAGTCCGAGTTATATGGTCCGGTTTCGGATAAAACCAAATAGTCCGGACCAAATATCCAGTCCCAGTCCTAGAATGAAGGCATCCACAGAATAGAGTCAGCATGACGTAAAATCTTTTTTTTTTTTTAATCTTTGCATGTCTAGGTGAAGTGGAGCTCAAGGAGGGTCATCTCATTCCAAACTAGTGATACCAATTACATTACATGCTTAGTAAACATCGTAGATGACTATGTGAATGTATCATCAACACAAGGTATGATTGTTTAAAGTGATAAATGACTGATTACGGGATGGGATTAGGTGCTAACTCTTATAGGGGTTAGCACCGTGATAACTAGCAAAAATCACTACGTATTATTATAAAATCAATACAACATCTAAGCTAAATCACTACTAATTCAAACTAGTAGTAGTTTTTCTCTTGGTTAGGACGGTGCTAACTATTGTACAATTAGCACCGTAGCCGTTCCCACTGATTACGGAATGAGTTCTATTTCTATAATTAGAGATCAAAGTTCATGACTTCATAATTAATTTAAGTACGAGGAACGACCAATCATAACGTCATAATCTTGTCCTTCGTCACCGCGTTACTAACATCGAGGTGGTAAATCCGCTAAGAATTTACCGATCAGGTCTGGATGCTCTCTGCTGCCTGCCTCAGACTGCCACTAACTAGTTAGCTCAACAAACATATCCAATACAGTGAAACCCGTTGAGAACGGAGCCAACCCAGTTAGGTTGAGGCCTGGGCCCATACAAGAGCAGGCCCTTACTTTCAAAGACCATACAACAAATCCAGCCTAAAGCCCATAAAAGGCCCAGCCCATTCCGAACGGCTTGCTTCCGTCCACTTTCACTTGCAGAACAACAGAACAGAGTCCTCCCCGACGATTCCGACAAGGCAACAACAACGTACAACAACCAAAACCCCGGGCCCTCCCTCGTTTTCACCGGCGATCGACACACTTTCCCCCCCGACGATGGCTGCCTCTCCCACAACGTACTGCTCTTCTCCCGCCCTCGGCGGCTCCCTGCCTCCCGGCAGCAGTTCTGCTTCCTCGGTTTTCTCCACCCGGACGTTTTTCCGGCCCGTTTTCTCCACTGACGCACCGCCGCTCCCGAGGTTCGCCGTCTCCGTTCAATCCCGGAATCCCGACGGTTCCAGCGGGCGTGGGCCGATCAATTCGGCGTTTGAGGCGGATTTGGCGGAGACAGAATCGTCGTCGTCGTCTTCGGTCTCCTCGTCCATTGATTTTCTAACCTTCTGCCATCGTTTGAAGGTAAATTGGAGCAAGGGGGGAAGGTTTGCATTAGGCCAGCTAACCTAATTGGTTGTTTCTAATTGATTCGCTGATAATCTATATTTTTCGCAGACCACGAAGAGGAAGGGATGGATTAATCATGGGATTGATGGCGCTGAATCGATTGCTGATCATATGTACCGCATGGCTCTCATGTCTCTGATCGTCGGTGACATTCCCGGTGTCAACAGAGAAAGGTTGGTGCTTTGTTTCATATAATGTGAAATTCACGCTCTTGGTCATTTGATTTCATTGGTTCACGCTCTTGGTACGATGGGAACTTTGCCTAATTCTTAGCTAGCAAGAAAATGTGGGATCACTGGGTAGCTTAGGTTTATGAATGCTATTCTACTGATCGGGGAAATTACATTGCGGAAACAGGAAACTTGAGTGAATTCTTTTGCGGTACAGAAAGCTCTTTCTCTATTTCATTAGGGCATAATAGAGCTAGAACGACTGCATGCATGACTGGAGACAGCTGCAGGCTCAAGAATTTAGACAATGTGATTTCGACCTATGTTAATCTTGTGTTTTCTCTTACAATTTGGGTGCTTTCGGTTTGCTTCTCACATACTTGGTTGGGTTGAGCAATGAGTTTTGTTAGGGTGCTTGGTTGCTTTATGCATGTGGACATGTAACTGGGATATGCTCACTGAAACTTGTTTGGTTGCCTTATTGGTTCAGATGTATAAAGATTGCAATCGTCCATGATATTGCTGAAGGTATTATTTTGATTATGTTATCTCTACTGTCCTTCTGATGGTTGATGAGGTTCTTTCTTGCGGATCTAAATTTATTGATTTGAAGTCTTAAATCGCTTTTACGGTAATTAAATGCTTTTTCAACTGATAATGCATATGATTTGCTGTCAGAAGGGGTTTCACTAGAATGATAGTAACATTTCCAGGTGCCAACTAAATATTTGCAACAATTCTATATATCTATACTTCTTGGTTGTAGATAAGGGTAGGCTTATCTAGGATATCCAACTGGCAATACCTTTTAGAGCCATGTTCCTCTAATTTGAAGGATCGTTATGTAATCATAATGAATCAATGGGAATTAGCCCTGCCTTGTTGAGTCAATTTCTACTTGTCGCTAAATTATGCACACATGCTCCTCTATTGGCATCTGAATTCTTGTTTCAAATTTAATAGCTATTGTTGGAGATATAACACCATCTGATGGTGTGCCGAAGGCAGAAAAAAGCAGGCGTGAGCAGGCAGCATTGAAAGAATTGTGCAAAATGCTTGGTGGAGGAATGAGGGGTATTTGCTGATCCTTCATCTTGATTTGAGATTTGAATTGTTTGTAATAAATGTTTGCTTACTGCAGCTGAAGAGATCAAAGAGCTATGGTACGAGTATGAAAATAATGCTTCCTTGGAGGCTAACCTTGTCAAGGATTTTGACAAAGTATGTATAGATTGAAAACTGGTGTAGATTGTGTCTTCCCCTTTGGTATTTGTATTATGAGTTTTGCATGTTTTGTTAACGCGAGATAACACATCTTTTTGGCAGGTTGAGATGATTTTGCAAGCATTGGAATATGAAACTGGTTAGTTACAGATTACCCTGCCTACCAATTACTCCCATGAGCAAAATTCTCTTTCTCATTTTAATCCACATGCACTCTTATGTCTCTGCAGAACATGGGAAGCTGTTGGATGAATTTTTCATTTCAACTGCAGGTAGAATTTACTATTACTAAAGATTCACAAAACTCACATTATGATAATAGACTTCCCTAAATGCTGTGATCTTCCTTTGATTAATGACATTTTTCCCAATCTGGCATCCGTAGGGAAGTTTCAGACTGACTTGGGAAAAAGTTGGGCAGCTGAGGTCATCTCCAGAAGGAAGTCCCAAGAAGGCAACTAGCTATAAGCTGATCTCCTTATTACCCATGCGGTCCTTACTCTCATTACATGCTGGGCCAAGGTTTTTGGATGCAACTCTCACAATCACCAAACTCTTTATGGAAACTACTGGTCGAAGGATCGATGATCCGTGAACGGGAAAAAATGAGGCATTTGGCACGAGTAATGGCGATCTGTGGAAAGAAATGTGAGGGAGAATCCTGCAGTAGTAAGTATTAACATCATACACTCACCGGTTTCGGAACTCCGGACGTTGTTCAACCATTTATCATGTGCTAACATAGCAGCTGACTACTTGCCTTAAAAAGCAAACTATGCATTATTAAGTTTCCTCATCGATGGCGCATCATGTGAGTTGTGACTGTGTAAACCAATTTTTGTGATCATGGTTATGTTTCTTCTCATTGTGAAGGTTGAGCAATAAGGAATCTGTGTTTTGATATTGTTGCTTAAAATAGGAGTCCTTTCCTGCAGAGCTTGTGTTCATTGAATGTCCAACCAAGGACATCATCAGTATAGAGAAAAGCACAGATCTTTTCCCATAGTGTCTGTCCTAATTTTAGGATGATAACTTGAAACATCAATCTTCGTAACCTCTAAAATCAGCCATTTATAGTAGAACTAAACATTTCTTTATGAGGGAGGAGAGGTTCTTATTTTATAATCAGCTGAAGTTCCATCCAGCACAAAAGGCAAAACTTGACTGGGGCACCTCTCGTGTCATCACAACATTAATCTATTAGTTGACATATGATAGAATAAATAATAGATCAAGTTTCAAGAGTGTCAATTCGAAAGGAAAGTAGATTTTTGGTGAATAAAGGAAACATAAATTACGGGTTATTTACTCTCTGTGGTCTCTGCTTACTATAAAAACATAAACTTTGACGTTACTGTGAAGGGAAGGAAAGGAAAGCGCGCCCACCTTCCTTAGCCTCTGAGTGCAATGATGACGGCGTGAGAGGGGGAAAATAACCCATCTCTTTTACACTTATTTCCTCAAAACTACCTTAATTAAGTTCGTGATTCAGCTTAGTTTTAGAATCCGTTGCTGTCTCCTTTGGCGCTCCTTTGTCAGCAGCAATGCTACTTGTGATTTCCGGGACCCACAACTCCGTGTTCTTATGAAATCTCGAGACTTTGAGCGAGAAGAAGAGAATTTTCCTCTGTAGAGGAGGCCAAAGGGAGAAAGTTTGAAGGAGATTTTCAGCCTTTTATTGACCGCAATTAGAAACTTCTCTGCTGCGACATTTCCCCATTTTCCACTACTGGTGGTGAAGGACGAACTCATGAGAGTACAAGGTAAGAGAGTCTTCCGAGATCTTTTTGGCATGTGGGTTTTCTTTCTGAACCAGTTCTGCGATATGGGTTTTGCTCCATTTTGGCGCTCCTGAGATTGTTTAGAAGAGCAGCGAGGATTGAGTTGTGGTTTCGTCTGGTTTCGAATCGGTCTGTTGATCGGTTGCTGGTTTTCTTGCTGGGGGTTTTAGTGGTTTCTTTATTGCTTTGACTAGTTAGCTTAGTTGGTGTGACTTTTGCTTCTGCAAGTAACCGAGTAATTTTGGTAAACTAAGGTTTTCCGTGTTCTGTTTTCGGATTGGATACTGGTGGTAGCGATTGGTGATCGGAAACTTGTTTGGCTGAGCTGGTTTAAGCTAAAAATCCAGAATTTTGCTTCAAGTTTTCTAATTTTGGAGACTCTGCTGAGCTGTGGTTCCTGTGTTTATATTTTTACAGCAAGCATCTATACAGTTCTACGATTGAGCTTCAGTATAGTTGATAATCTGTGAGTTGTGTCAATTGTGGTGCTTCCATTTTTGCTATCTACGTTGCTAGACAGAATTCTGGGTAGAAGATGAACTGAACCAGCTTTCAATTTTGGCATTTGAATTAGGTGATTTGAGAGAAATCCGTGGGTTGAATTGATTTGGTTATATAATAGTGATGGCAACAGTAGCTCCAGCCCCGAATCCTCCGAGTCCTGCTGCTCCCACACCTTCAGGAACTGCAGCATCACCCCCGCCATCCATCCCATCACCACCACCACCACCACAATCCTCCTCTCCTCCACCTACTCCAACAATATCCCCACCTCCACAAGATGATCCTACTCCACCGCCACCATCATCATCACAACCTCCTCCGCCAGCAACACCATCGACTCCACCACCATCTGATTCACCTCCGCCTAGTTCTCCACCACCATCACAACCTTCTAATCCACCATCTACACTACCTCCTCCAGCACCACCGTCTAATCCACCCACAAGTGCTTCTCCACCTTCGCCATCACCACCATCAACACCACAGCCACCGCCAAATTCGCGTCCTCCACCACCTCCATCCACGCCTGCCCCTGATATTCAACCTCCACCAGCATCTACTCCACCTGAAAGTTCACCACCGCCACCAGAAACCCCATCACGACCACCTACTAGTCCTCCCTCACCACCTAGGAATTCACCTCCTCCTCCTCCACCTTCAATTCCACCAAGAGGTGCACCTCCACCTCCAAATAATGCTTCATTGCCTCCTACTACTCCTACCCTACAACCACCACCTTCTGGAACAAATTTTACTCAATCAACTCCACCACCAGTAATCAGACTGGCTCCACCTCCTCCCTCGCGGAATACTCCATCATCCTCTTCTCCCCCATCATCTGTGAACAATGAAACTATTCCGAATGCATCTTTTGATCAAAACGGTGGAGACGGTAGGATCGGTACTGGAGCCATAGTGGGTATCGGAGTAACGCTGGGAATCTTAATGCTCACTCTTATCGGGGTAATTGCCTGGTGCATAAAGAAACGCAGGAAATCTGTTTCTAGAGTCAATGGTGATTATGTGATTCCTTCACCTTTTGCATCCTCCCCATTATCAGGTAAAAAAACATCTGAATATTAATTTCTGTTCTGGTTATTAGCATATTGGAATGTCTGCCATCATTTGGAAGTGTACATTACTTAATTCTCAATCTATTGTGATGCTCACATTTTGGAAAAAGCTGTAGTCGATGCATAGCTGTTCTCAGAGACATCGTTTGATTCTGTGCTGTTGTAAACCCTGCAATCCACCTGAATTTACGTAATTTGACAATTAAGAGAACTTGCATCAATCCATTTAATGAATGGTTTTCTATTGCTACAGTTAGTGTACCGATATGGATAAACCTAAGTATCACTGTCCATGGATGTTGAAAATGACTTCATCTGTACAACTAAAATAAGTAAATTTTCTGTTTGTGTTAATAAAGTCAAGATGATGTTCTTCTGAACAGTTTTAACTGCTTTTCCAGATTCCAGTTACACAAAAACACAGTCCACTACAGCTCCACTGATGGGCAGTGGTTCTAGCAGTGACTTCATTTCTTCACCAGCAGAGCCTGGTGGACTAATGCATTCGAGGTCTTTGTTTACATACGAAGAAATGGTCTCAGCAACCAATGGCTTTTCAAGCCAGAATCTGTTGGGTGAAGGTGGATTTGGATGTGTATATAAAGGCTGCTTACCAGATGGGAGAGAGGTTGCAGTGAAGCAACTCAACATACGTGGAAGCCAGGGTGAAAGGGAATTCAAAGCTGAAGTTGATATCATAAGCCGAGTGCACCATCGTCATTTGGTTTCACTTGTTGGTTATTGCATCTCGGACAGCCAGAGATTGCTTGTTTATGAATATGTCCCTAACAATACCCTTGATTACCATCTCCATGGTAAAATAAAATATAAATACAGCTTCAGTTTTGTACTTTTAGCAATTCTCATTACAATTACTGCTTGCTTGAAATATATGTTGGTTCTTATACTCTTGTAGAGGAAGGCATACCTGTTTTGGACTGGCCACATCGCATCAAAATAGCTGTGGGTGCAGCTCGTGGATTAGCTTATCTACACCAAGACTGTAAGTACTTGTTATCTCTTCAATTTTGGATGTCCGTATAAGCCAGTCATTAGTTTCTTACTCTATTGTTTGCTCATTTTAACAAACCAGCTCACATAATCTCTGTATTCAGGCTATGAAATCAAAGTACCTTCAGTAGGCTGTATTGGAGATGGAGATTTTCATTTTGGTTTTTGTTATTTTACATGTGTAGGTCATCCTCGGATTATTCATAGGGATATCAAGTCGTCAAACATTCTTTTGGATAACAACTTTGAAGCCAGGGTATGTATAATTTGTAATCTAGAGTTGCCAATGTGCCATTAAATATGCAGAATACTATTTTAAACATTTGGACTTGATTGAGCTACAGGTTTCAGATTTTGGTCTTGCCAAGTTAAACCCTGATGCAAATACGCATTTGACAACACGTGTTATGGGAACCTATGGGTAAGGCGCCTTTCTCATCTTCGTTTTAGATTCCTCAAAACCTTCATGAGGTGAGAATGAGATACCTTATATTAGAATTTTGACCCGACTTAAATTGAACCTATATGTTTGATTTTGCTATTCCAGATATGTCGCCCCAGAGTATGCAACAAGTGGCAAGTTAACTGAGAAATCTGATGTATACTCATTTGGAGTTGTGCTCTTGGAGTTGATCACTGGGCAGAAGCCACTGGATCCTTCCCAGTCACCAGGAAAAGAGAGTCTAGTTGAACGGGTAATTGCTTTACATACTTTTCTCCAGCTTTTGAAAATCCAAAGTTGCCTCCTACTCTACCATTGGGACTTGGGATTGTCTTCTTAGGAAATGGAACTTTCACGGGAGCATTCAACTATGGAAGAAAACCTAACTATCTTAACTTATTTCTGACCAGTCTTAACCTGAACTACTATCGTAGTATAAAGTGTTTACATATTTATCCAAAAATTCTGTCTAGTCTAAGATCATATCTAGGTGAAGGCCAAATCCCGTCAACAGCTTTCTGTGTATTTAATGATGTAGAATAAGAAAAATTAGAATAAACACGTGACTTATAGGTTTTGAAGGTCTGGAACTTCAATAGTATTCGATCGGTGCTCAGATATCTGAACTTTCCCTTTCCAGGCACGACCTTTCATGAGCCATGCACTAGTCAGCGGCGAACTAGGAGGTCTAATCGACCCAAGGCTTGACAAGAACTATGTTGAAGAAGAAATGTTTAGGATGATTGAGGCAGCTGCAGCCTGTGTTCGCCATTCTGCTGCTAAGAGGCCTCACATGGAACAAGTATGTATAATCTAATCAATCAACTTGTGGCTGGTAGCCTGGCGGGCTGCATCTTTCTTATATTATGCTTCCTTTATGATTATGTTTCTCAGATTGTCAGAGCTCTCGGCGATATAGCTGCAGCAGATTTAACCAACGGAATGAAAATTGGAGAAAGTGAGATAGTCAGGACACCAGAAGAGTCCGAGCAGTTTAGAATCATGCAAAGGATGGCATTTGGCGGTCAAGATTTTAGTTCAGGTTTTTTTAGCCATAGTAGTATGAACAGCCGAAATGACAGTCTAGTATGAAAGTAAATTTTGGTAGGAATGAAAATTTAGCTGTGAATTACCCTGCAGAGTTCAGAGGTTGAATGAGAGGTTCAGGGTGATCTTCACTATTGGGGTACATAGAATTGTCAGCCTCTAGGGTGAAGGGCAAAATCAGGTTTAGGAAAATGGCTCATTCCTCAGCCTTTCTAGTAACTGGGCTAAGGGTTAGCTTTTCCACTATATCCTTTTAGCTTTTCTACTATATCCTTATAGGGTTTTGATTACTGTAAATAGCCCCACCAGAAATATTGTAAAGGCTCAATTTTGAAATCGATTCGGATCAGAATTTTTCATTCTGGGTTTCTGTCAGCTGTTTGAGTTATTCTTACAGAATGAATATCGATGTCATTATCACATAAAGCCTTACCTGGAAAGCATGGATATATGTCTCTGCAACAGAAAGCCGCCAGTAAAGAGCTTGATCACCTTCCGCCTCGCAGCCATTTAAGAGTGATTTTAAGGGACTGAAGAGCCACAAAGTTTCCATTAATGGCTGTGTTGATACTAGAAAAAGGGTCACTCAACTAAGGAGGAGAATTGATTCTCAGAATTGTCAGGTGAAAAATGAAAAAATCTTGTGGAACAGCAATCCAAATATCCAGCTGGGCAACTGGGAAAACAAAAGAATAGCAACAGAAGGCAAGGAAAGAAAAGTCTGCAAAGCACTCCAAGACAAGACGAGGAATGAAGTCACCCAAAGCAAGCAACCCTCCAAAATTCCCTTCTCAAACCCCCAGGCCCCAGAAACGCAACTGGAAAAGAGTAATTCATAAGAAATCATGTTCTCCACCTCTAAAGGCAGAGTTCCTTTGACGTTCAATATTCCAACACTGAAATCCAATCCCACACATCTTCCAAACCTTTCCTCAATTGTCAATCCTCAAAAAACATGTGAACCCTTTTGCTGATCATCATCATCATCAAACCATCTTCAAACATCTCCCTGCTAGCTTTGCCACCCATGGCAGCCATGGAAGACTGCAACCAAATGGCTGCAGACTGTATAGTCCTATCCTGCTGCTGCCAATGCTTGTTCCTGCAATTCCTCATCTACGTGTTCCTCAAGCTGCCAAGGAGGCTGCTCAACCGGACAAGGAACTACGCGAGAAAGAAGCTGCTGAAGATGAGGAGCAGGAAGAAGATAGAGACAGAGCTAGTGGGGAGAAGAACTGTCAAGTTTGGAGAAATGTTTGCTGATATATACAGCAATGAAGAATCCATGTGCATTGACATAGGCCTGTTAGAGGAGTTCAAGAAGTCCAATGCTGATAATAACAACATCATTGAGCATCTTGACATGGGTGAAGATCGTCATCAATGCATTGAGGAAATAGAGAGGGTGTTTGATGAATACCATGCTAAAGGTGAGTTTGGGTTTGGGAGCTTTTGGAGGAAGGAAGTGAGCAAAATGGGCTCACCATCATACTCATCTTCATCTTCATCGCTCTCATCATCGTCGTCGCCAATATCTTGGGGGAGATCAAGAATGGCTTCTCCACGTTCATCACATAATTCGACTTCATCATCGACGGGAAGGAGTAGTGGTGGAGGTAAGAAGCAGAGGAAGAAGAAGGAGTCGGGTGGTTTTAGAGCTGTACAGTTTGAATTGATTGAAATTGTTCATTCTTTGTCACGTTCATCGTATGGGTCGTTCCAGACGATCGATAAGTTGATAGATTATGAGAAATCGCCTTCAGGGATTTGGAGAAATCCGAGTGCATCATGAGCTTAGCTTGCTTGTGAGTTTGTTTCATATTTAGATTTGTTATATTTTTTTTAGGTGCGATCAGGATAATGAGTCCAAGTCCAACCAGAATCGGGTAATAGTGATGGGACTCTCTTGATTGTTCCAAAATTCCTGATAATATTTGGGAATTTTCATACCCAAATATATAAATAATTTGTTAACCTTTAAAACTTAAAAGCTTACGATTTTACACTTCTAGTTCACCCAACCGCTTCTAGGTAGAATCACGCTTTTGATTGCATTAATTGTGAACAATCATCATGTCGAGGAATCCAGAGAATGTGCTGGAGAAGTTGGGTGATTTGCTTCTATAAGCTCTTAATTGCAGAAGATATCAAGACGATGACAAATGACTGAACTAAGTCCATATTTTTTTTATTTGTTGGAGGAATTTGACCAACGACCAACATAATCACTTGTGTCCTTGGCAATATGACGAAAGAACAGTAATGTCTCATAGTGGTTAGAGATCTATAATCCCAAAAAACTCCTTGTTCTTCTTCTTACCGACGATGAAGCAAAAGAAACAATTAGAGTCACCATTGTCGACTTCAAAGCCAATGATAGCCACAAGATTCGTCAGAGTCACTTGTTGATATTGATGTTGCATGTCTTCTCCAAGGATGGTGAGAATAATAACAAAAGACATGAAAGGGTACTAATGTAAATTGTATTTTAATAGCTATTAGATAAGCCCGCTTGCTACTTTTCGCGTTAAGTGAAAATGATGTTATAAATATGTGAAAGAATTAGCAAAATGTAACTCATAAGACAACTACAAAGTCAGAAAAAAAAATCACAAAAATATTATGGGTTGGACATTGATGTTATACATCCGAGGAGTACGATTTACATATTACTAAGTAAGAATATATTCAGTTGGAGTTTCACAACTATTAGTTAGAGAATTTACTAAATTTCTACGCCTGAAATGGAAAAGAAACAAATAGATGTTTTTTTTTTCGCACAAGAAACAAAAGATGAACTTTGATTTAACCTATGACTCTCTCTTGAGATGAAAAGGTAAAGAAAAATAAAGAATATGGAAAAAGTAACCAAAGCAAAGGAAACAAACTAAAAATATAACACATGGTTCCATCGGTTTTTATGCCAATTTCGTCATGTTCAACCGAGCTGGAGATTTTCGCGTTATCTTTCTATTCGAGGTCGAGCGAGAGAGATAAGTGACCATACAAAATCAAATATGAAAAAGATGTCGGCTTTAACACATCGTAAATAAAATGATAAAAAAAAGACCATTAAAAGTTTCTCATGTGACTAAAAGAAATTAAAAAATAAAAGATTAAAAGAAAAGGGAAATATGTGGCTTTTTTGAAACAAAACAAAAATTGATATGCCTAAAAAAAATTATCTAATATATGTAGCCTCTTGAGAGAATGCCCCTAATAATGATAACAATTAAGAAAAAATCGCTCAATAAATAGTAACACCCTAACCAAACTTTTTATATACCAATAATTACTCCATAATCCAACTAACAAAACAAGCATATACTTTTTCAAATCCATAATACAACAAATTGCTAATAAATCCAAATATTTTCAAACTTCAAACTTTAACCAAAACCCTCAAGTATCCATCGTGCAAGGGAGTCGATTTGGGCATCCCATATATCCACCTACCAAGTACTAGGGTGTTAAGCATAGCGAGTATTGGAGTGTCAAACATGATATCATTCAAGAGGAGCAGACACACCAGGGACGAGACGGGATACGATGACAACCCCTAAGGGGGTTGTCAGATTCACAACCAAGGGTATTTTGGGTATGAAAAAAGGAATATATTAATTACCTTTTTTGTATTAATTATATTGGGAATTAAAAACCCATATTAAATACTTTTTTTTTAAATTTAAATCCTATACATTAATATCTCTATCTATCTCTCTCTCTTCCTTTCTCTAGCGGCCACTCCGCATCGATGGACAAACTTTTTCTCCGGCGAATTCTCTCCGGTAGACTCCCTCCGGCAACCTGAAAAAATGTACCAGTGCGTTAAAAAGTGTACCAATCCATTAGTCTACTGGTAATTAATATACCAGTGCTAGTGGTACGCTACCAATGCGTTAAAAAATGTAGCAGTACTAGTGGTACGCTACCAGTACAGCGCTACCGCTACCATATTGTATCGTACCACTAGCATTGGTAGCGCTACCACTAGCATTGGTAACGGTACCAGTAGAGAATAACACAAAAAAACAGATGATAGTGGTACCAGATGATAGGGGAGCCACTGGTACGTACTAGTGAGTAGTGGTAGCGTGCTACCAGTGGTATTGGTACCCTACCAGTGCTCACTGGTACATACCAGTAGAGACTAAAACAAAAAATCGGATCTGGAAAAAAATAGGGACGAGGAAAGAGGGAGGCAGGGAAGAGTCTTGACCTCGCGGCGGCGTAAAAATGGCGGCAGGGTCAGCGTGGCACGACGGTGAGCTTAGGGGTGACGGGGGCAGCGTATCGCGGCAGGAGCGGCGGGGACAGAGGGCGCGGCAGGGCGGCGGGGACTGCAGGCGCGGCAGGGCGGTGAGGACAGCTGGCGCGGCGGAGGTCAGGGGTGGCGGTGGGCATGGGAGAGGAAGAGGGAGATGCGGAGGCGGCAACGTCCGCGGAAGAAAGGGAGGAAGGAAAGAAGGAGGTGAACGGTTATGAAGTTGGTATGAGTTAGATTAGGGTTTTATTATTTTATATGGGAGGAAAAATGATTGGGTATGGTAAGTTTTTTTCATCCCAAAAACACCCTTCTTTTCATCTCAACCTTCAATTTAAAAATAACAAGGAGAGAGACAAGAGAGAATACATCTAATGGCTATAAAGTAGGTTGTCAAACCCACAACCCCCTTAAGGGGTTGTCACCATAACTCCCGACATAAGATGGTAATAGAATTTGACTAAGTGTTAGAGTCCACTTTCATATAATGGTGATTAATGAAAGAGGGAGTGGTAAACTCTCAAGTAAAATCCGGAGGTATATGCCTAAAACACTTAATTTTATGAATTTGTTTGATTTTCATACGCAAAATATACCGTTTCAAATGTATGTGTTGGTACCTTGGTATCTTTAGATTGAGAGAGATTAGATTTATCGAAGCTTCAGAACTGAAGTAATTAAGGAGAAAAGCAGAACAAAGTTAAAAGTTAAACCATTCATTAATCACCATCAATTTCTTTTTTCCCTTGCAACATTTCTGCGACTGCGAAGCAACATTACCATTATGTTTATGTACACAGAAAATTAGCCTGGAGAACAAAAATGGGAAAAAACAGAACAGAATGATGAGAAAATGTAAAGGGTTATCCCACCAACCGGTTCCTTTTCTTTTTATTGGATTTTTTTCTTCTTCCCCTTCTTTCCCCCTCCACGATCTAGAAAACCGCCGGCAGCAGCGACGGCGATCACTTGACGGCGAGGCCGAGAAAATCAGCGGCTGATCTGGCCAAGATGTTGGCGAACTCCTGGAAACTGAGGACGCCATCGCCATTGGTATCGGCCTGGCACATCATCTCCGACAGCTCCTTGTAGGAAAGCGGGTGGCCCATCTTGGCCATGGATCCGGCGAGCTCGGCGGCGGTGATGTAGCCGTTGCCGTCCCGGTCGAAGGACCGGAAGACCTCGAGGAGCTGCTCCTGGTTGATGAGGACCTCCTCGTTGATGTCCGGGAGGATGGCGGAGACGAGCTCGTCGAACTCGACGTAGCCGTTGCCGTTGGCGTCGATGTTGGAGAGGAGGGAGTGGAGCTGGTCGCCGGTGGGTTTGAGGCCGAGGGATCGGAGGAGGGCGGCGAGCTCGAGGTGGGTGAGGCTGCCGTCGGAGTCCATGTCGAACCGCACGAAGATGTCCTTCAATTGCTGGATCTGGTCGGATTGCAGTGCCGCCGCCGCAATCATGGTGGCTGGCTGCAGGCGGCCGGAGGAGGAGGAGGAGGAGGAGGAGGAGGAGGAGGAAGAGGGGGAAAGTGGGTTGGATTCGAGGAGGCTTGAAAACCAAGAATTGAGGGGAAATTCAGGGGAAGGGAATTCAGGGGAGGGAGAAAAAACAGGGGCCAGAGAAACAGGGGAGGGAAATAATAGGAAAGGAGAGGCTTTTTTTTTTTACTTTTCTTTGTAAAATGATGGGTTTTGTTATTATTAGGTTTTGCGGTGGCTGCTTTCTTTGATGGTTCCTTCCTTCCATTGTTTAATGTTGTTTAAGGCTAATGGGTTTTTCAATTTTAACACTGACAGGGACGGTGCTTACTTGAGGGATTCTCTGTTTTTTGTATATATGGAGGAAAGGTTGTCAACCGCAGGTTGATCCGGATCCGATTGAGTTAGTGGGTCTAGGGTTAATGGGTCACCCGGTTTAGCCCGGAAATATGGAAAGCGTCATTATATTGTACTTATCCTGATAAATTATATCAAATATCATCTAACATATGAGTTATAACATATAATATTACACCAAAATAACATTTCGTACTTAGATTCAACATATAGTGAAAATTCACACACACTTATATAACATTAATATTCAAATGTTCAACTTAGGATTCCAAAGATTGAGTTAGGCAAAAAGAAAAATCGGAAAATAGGCGCATTTCGCAAAACAAAGAAAAAAATGACACAATTTGACCTCCAACCCGGTATCTTGTGGCGGTCGACCCGACGGATACGTGCGGCCCGTTTTTCTCACCAGGTCTGGGTCAAAGTGGGTCAACCCGCGGGTCGACGCGCGGGTTGACAACCCAGGATCAAGGATGGATGAATAATGGAGGCATTGACAAGTAATGTTCTTTGGGTGAGTTGGAATGTTTCAATGGCAGAAACAAGAGAAGAAGCGCGTTGTATACACAAACTCAAATGGGACAATGTTGAATTACTTGTTGCCAAGATGCAAATGGGGGATCTTTTTGTTTGGAGGGAAATGAGCTAATTTTTTGGTCCAAGGCGAAGCTTTCACAATAGTGATTATTAAAATGTTTTCCCTTTCTTAGTAGGTCAGTTTGATGAGATAAGTTGTACAATGTAATGGGTATGTTTGAATTGAGAAATAGTAGTAGGAAACACTATGATTCTATGAGTCGGTTTATTGGGTGGTTTGAGTAGTTGCTATTAGACATGTTGATATTGGGTAGGAACCAATATAATTTTTTTTTTATATAGGGGTCGTTTGGAAGTTGTGATTGTTAAATAGATGTATTGTTGAGAATGCATGTATAATATTATACATATATTGTCGAATTTGATGCATTGTAGAATACAACGCTAGGTATGTGTGATTGTGTATGTCGCATTAGCTAAAAACTGAGACAAAACAATCTCAACTCAACTATCTCAACAATCACAACTAAAAGTTGAGATATAACAATCACTCAAAATGAGTGATAGTTTCTGTCACTTCATAGAAACAATCCTTGTATTGTTTCTGCTATAAAAAAAAACGATGCATTGTAAACAATACATGCATAATGACAATCTCAACAAAATAATCGCAACTTCCAAACGACCCCATAGATTTGGATTTGAACGGGGTCTTATTTGGGTAAACTCATTTGGATCAGATCCAAATAGTCTATTTGGGTCCAAATGAAAAGTTGCCACCAAAACCAATCTAGTTAAAAGACAAGTCTACACTACCAATAGCATCCGACTTAAGTTTAAGTCAAACCAACAAGAAGAAAGTCAAGTTTTTTCCAAATAAAAAAGTAAAGAGTTGTTAAAATGTTAGGCTTTAGGAAGAATCATAGCTTGTTTCAAGTCTAACCAAATCTATCTAAATTACAATATTTGGTTACAGAAGGATGATATAGGTTTATTTTATAATAATTATATATTATTAAACGATTAAAACTTGTAATCTCCATATTCAAAACGAGTGGTAATACTACTAAATCAAGCCCGCCGTTGTTGCAATTGACGAAAATAATGATGTAACCCCACATGAAAATATAATATCTTTGTGTTATGATTGCTCTTTTGTCTATACTGGGTCATAATTCGTCAAACCCAATTAAATAATAGAAAGGGTTCATAGTTATAAGGACATGTAATACCATCAGATATAACACTATGACTTCAGAACCCTGAACTTGGGCCTTAAGAAGAGCGTTAGAAGATCCAGAAGGCACAATTCTCCTCCCAACACCAGCTATGAACTTGAACAATAGCGTTAGAAACAAGTAATCTCCCCACCAAGGGTTAAACATACTTTATCTGTAGATAACCACAATGTGGATAATGAATAAATTTCAGTGTAACCTCTCTATTCTATGTACATCCTTACAAATGATACAGCATTGCTATAGGTAGAAGATAAACCAGTACTGTCTATGTAACAGTAGCCTCAAAAGATTCCCCGAAAACTCGCTCTACATTCCCCCCATCCATCATCTACCCGATTGATCGATCTCGACTGTGTATAGTACAAGTACAACTACAACAATCCCAGATTTCTGAATGCTTCTCCTGTACAGATTCCCTTGAAACCATTCTAACCTACAAACAAGGATCGAATGCATGAAGGCAGCAAGTTTCAACAGCGAAAAAGTCCCCTCACCCCGATCTCCATGCTGGCCATATACAGTCAGGGGAAGGATTCTTTGCCAGCCATCAAAGCAACAAGAGGGGTCAAAAGAATGTTTTGTTCTAGCCACGCTTCGGTCCAACGGTTGAGATCACGTGGAGAGACAATCTGACAGTATGTCAGCACCTAAGCTGCCTTCCAACTGATATCACTGAAACGGATTCTCCTCTCTACTATTTGATCGACTCGATCGTGCTGCCACACGGGCAGTGAAACCAACTGTTTGTGGCCTCAACGACCGCTGCCTGACCATATCACAGAACTCTGGGTCCTCCGACTGCCCTTCGTGCCTTATCCACTGAATCATTTGATGGTACATAGGGAAGAACCTCATTTGAATCGTGGAGTAGGAGAAGTACGGTATTAGGGTCGTGATCACAGTGAAAAGCGTGATGAGCCAGTAGGAAGCTGCAGGGGCGAGGGCTTCGACAAAGATCTTGTAGGCGTTGTTGGCGAATCCAGGGGACATCGCGCCATAGATCATGAGGAAGATGTACCAGAAGGCGATGGATCCCCAGATGAGGATGTGTTGTAACACTGTGAAGTAGTTGATGAAGAGTGCCATTTGTAAGTTTACTGTCCATACAATGCACGTGTACATCGTTGCTCCGAATATGTCTCGTCCAGCTGTCTTCCCATCGTCATTGAATGCTTGAATATCCATTGCCTTTGTGCAGAAGAAGAAGATCATGATCGCGCTGTAAACACCATTGATCATCCATGTGAGTATACGGCGCCAGCTGAACAGAACATTCTGTACCCCTTCTTGGTATAGTAGAGGGAACTGCACAAAAGGGAAGGACAAATCGTCATTTTAAGAATCACTCAAGAAAAGAACTTGACAGACATGATGGGCTAAAATTCACTGGTCACTAGGCTTGACTTAATAGTATAGACTTAAACAAACTTCAAGAGATTAAAGGATAGTTAGAACTTCATTTTAAGATGGAAAAGTGGATGAAGTAACTAACGGTGCATCAATTCTACAAAGTTCAGTGGTTTTCTTGCATTAGTTCTCGTAGTTTAGTGACCATTGTTGAGTTTAACCCGACTTGATGAAGATTGCTAATAAAAGTTGGTGAGTTAGTTACCTTGATAGCATCTCGCGATGATACATCCTGGTCGAAAACGCCCAAAGCAATCACTGGAAGTGATGTGAAGAAGACGTTGTATAGTGAGAGAAACCAATCGTTGTAGGCAGGTTGTCCTGAGAATGATGTATATGCCTCATACAAGAACACGGAGATGCCGAATGTGACATTCTTGTAGAAGAAGTAGCAAATCTGTTGTCATGAAGGGGACAAGAAATTATTACTACTTGACGAAATATATTCAATTGCAAGTTCAATTCTATGTAAGTGATAGTATTACTTACCATTGATGATATCCTTCTATAACACCAATGTCCATGCACGAGTAGCAAGCGTTCCAAGTACCGAAACTGAGCAATTGCAACGTCACTGGACATAACAGCCTAGAAATTGAAAGAAACAAAGAGTCCAAATAAGTTTCAAACAAGAAATAGAAATTTTCATCCAAAAACCAAAGTAAAAAAGAATTAAGTACAGCATACCTGCATTCCTTCAACACCACTAATTCCAACACCGATATCTGCTTCCTGAAGCATACCAACATCGTTGGCACCATCACCGATTGCTAATGTTGTTCTGCCAGTTCCATTTTTCACCAGTCTTGTAACCTGTAATTATTACAATTAATTATTTTGGTTTGAAGTGTGAAGGTAATGGAAACATAGGAAGTGGAACAGAAAAGGGAGATGAGATGCAGTGATGCCAGCAAAAAAGGGTGATGTCCTACCAGTGCTTTCTGTTTGGGTGATGAGCGGCAACAAATGACAGATGCACAGCTCACAGCAAGCTCGAGAAACAAGTTCTTAACATCATCTTCCAGAGCGTAAGTGAGCGAGTTCCCATCAATTATCAAAGCAAAGGCATCAGCGCTTCCACCTGACACTAGCGCTTTGCCTGCAGTAATTTCACGGAGAACATGCGCTTTGGATACCTGAATGAATTTCAATTCAGTTAATACATGGCATCCCGTTAAACTGGACAAGCTCATCAGAACTATATTCCTCAGGAAAATATAACTCTAACAAACTAGAGTGAATTAATTGAGGGTACAAAGGTGATCTTTACCTTATTAATGGCGGCCTTATCTCCAGCTATTTCTAATGCCTGGAGTTCTGGTAACTCGAGGTTGATTATGATCTGCTTCATTCCTTGTCTAAGCAAACTACATGCGAAACTGCATATTGACAGCTTTAGTTAGAAAAAACCTTCATCCTGAAACTTGTATAAGTCAATACAAGGAAGCACAAAGGAAAGAAATGAACTGAAAAGTGAGATGCATACCCAATGTTGATGGCAGTTTCCATTTTGTCACCAGTCAAAACCCATATCTTAATTCCTGCTTGGGCAAGCTTGTCTATGCAGTCAGGAACCTGATACATGCAATGCCAAGCAAAATGAATAATCATATTACAAAATTAAATCTTCTATTAGAAGGAAAACAAAAAAATACAGATCCTTCTCCAACTTACCCCATTTTGGAGTTTGTCCTCAACAGCAGTAGCACCTAGGAGTATCAAATCCTTCTCCATATCAGCTGCCACTTTCTCAATCAATGAATCCCGATCTGCACTAACCGAACTTTTTGCAGCGTTGAACTTTGAGTTGAAATTTGAGTATTCAGCATCATCAAGCTGACGGTATGCGAGAATCAGGGTTCTTAGACCCGCATCAGCATACTGATTTACATGAGTCCTAGTCTCCCCTTCGAACTCCTTACCACTCTTCGCAAGCCTTTCAAACATTACACTGCCCACACATAAAAAGAGACCATCATGAGTTTTCAGATGAGGAATCCATTATAGATGTAAATTAGAAGTTAAATGTTCTGAACACAACAATACCTGTCAGCTCCTTTAGAGAGCAACAGTAGCTTTCCATCCTCATCCCTTACTATAACAGACATTCTCTTTCTTGTGCTGTTGAATTCCAACACGTTCAAAAGGCTATACTCTTTCTCAACTTTCTTTCCTGACTGCAAATCCAACTCCCTCACTGAGATGGTCGTCTGAGTCCTTTTATAGAATTCAAAACCCAGTTCTCGAGCTGCAATCACAAACGCTGCTTCATCAGGCGATTCAGCCTCGTATGTAACATTCCCGGTGTCTTCATCAATTTCAGGTATGGCCGTGTGACACACAGCCAGCAATCGAAAGAACTTCTGGATGATGTCAGCACGAGGCTCGTACAGCCAATGTCCATCCATGATTCGTTCATCTTCAAAGTTAAAGCCCTTGACAGGGCTTTTACTAGAGGAATCCTTCTTCCCTTCCAAACCATTGATTCTTAATGGACTACCGGTCTTTCTTTCCATAGCCCTCTCAACTTCAGTTACACCATGGCCATAAGCAGTACCAGCCACAGAAAACTTTATGAACTCCATAGAATTGCATGTCAGAGTCCCGGTTTTGTCTGAGAGTATGGTGTCGACCTGCCCAAGTTCCTCGTTCAAATTTGAGGTACGTGCATGTGCCGGTTTATCAGCCTCCTCATAGTACATATGGATATCTTGATTGATGAAGATGCTCTGAAGAACTTTCACTACTTCTATGGAGACATAGAGTGAAATAGGGATGAAGTAGCTATACAGCATTACAGCAGTCAGGAAGTGAAGGATTGCTGCAACTACTGCTTTTCTAGGATCAAAGAAGATTTCAGAGTCATTCGGTTTAAGATACCACCTCTTCATTCTTCCATCTTCCAAGTCATCCCTTGTCCAAATTCCAAAGCAGATTGAACCAACTGATGCCATCAAAAACACTATACCGAAACACAAGTAGATGATTTGGTCCATCTTCTTCTCAACATTGCTTCTCTTTGATGGTGGAGCTGTAGCATTCTGCATTACCTTTGTATCATGGCCAGTGAATACAACTGCACCATAGATAAAGTCTGTGTTTCTGAGCTTCGAGTCTCTCAGAAGCAGCTGCTGAGGTGTGAGTGGGAATTGGTTCTCCTCATACTCCAAAGTTCCAACAAAGGTGTAGAGATTTGCATTTGGGTCTTCACATCTAATCATGGATTTGAAGTTGGTGAATTCAGACTCTTCGTGCAGGACTGAAGTTGTCTCGACTCCTTGTTTCAGCTTCAGATTCGTCTCTCCATCGAGGTTCATAGTCTCCACATAGCAGATTCCATCCTCATAACTGGATGAAAGAAGGAGCAAGTCTGCAGGAAAGAATTCATCTTTCCCAACCTTAACTATATCCCCTACTCTCAAGTTCTTCCATTCGGTTTGTTTAAAAACCCCATCTCCTTGGTGCACTTTAACCGTCCTATTGTTCACCTCAGTGTCCTGGGGAAAAAAACCCAAATCGCACAACCACATTTCAGCCAAATGATAAACCAGGAAAGATCAACATCATCCGAAAAAGCTCAAAGCACCAAGACAAACGCATCGAAAGGCTATAGCCATAAAAACTTGACTGCGAAGTGGTCAGTCCAGGTTTTTTAAAATAAAATCAGGAAAATGATAGGAATGGAGCATATTTCTAGCACAAAATCAAGGACCGCTAAACCGTAGACATTCGAAGTCAACAGGAATCATTCCCTGAACCCAACCACCAAATTTTGATTGAAACAAACACCAACCCAGAATCCAAAATGAAAAACCCAAAAGTTTAGGCGCAGAAGAAAAGACAGCAAAAAGAGGAAAGTGGTTTCTTTTTTTAATTCTTTCTTTCATTACCTGTTGTTTGCGGTGCCAGTCTTCAATGGCTTCTTTAACCATGGAGGCAGCAATCACAACGATGAGAGGGATAATGGCGCTGACAGCGGTGTAAGGAGCGAGAGGAGTGAATGACAAGATGCCAGTGACCAAGAAATAGAAATTGGCCACCCTCCTGAACTGCTCAAACAACGATTTGGGCAAGAAAGTAGCGACGTTGTACTTTGTTGTACTGACATAATTATCATCATAATTCCGGATCCCAGCTTCGAAGCAATCTGGCTCGTTGGCAAACACGACCCTCGAGAATCCAGGGCCGCCAATTTGTGAATGGTCATCCTCAAACGATGCTTTCCCGCATCTGAATGAGTACAGCCTGCTCAACTTCAATCTTATTCTCTTTCTACCACCACCCATGATTTAATGAACAACAACAATTCCTTCTTCCCAAAATGCAGCTGAAACAGAGAGATCGCCTTCAATTTGTGGATTTGGGAGCTCCTGAATGGAACAGAAAGGAATTAGGAAGGCGTTGTGGAGTTAAATGCAGCTGCTTTAAAGTACGCTTACTTGTTGCTTTGAAAATGACATAAAAAGGAAAGCAGCTCAAGATAAAAAGGAAGAAAATAACCTCAAAACAGAAAAAAGCAGAGAGGAGCAGAGCAAGAAAGATTGAGCTGATAAGAATTAAGAAAGGCACCCAAATAGTTAGACAAGGATTTCTCTCCACTATTGTCTGAAAAGCAGCAATAACCCATCATCCAAAAACTGGGGAGCTCCAAACCCCACTATGTAAAATCACAAGATTCAGTCCATAGAAGCTCAAGTTGGGAGCTTTACAACCAGAGAGAGAGAGAGAGAGAGAGAAGGGGAAGAAAGAAAACCTTATGAAATGGAGGAGCAGAGGATCCGACAAAAGGGAAAAGACAGAGGACAGAGGAGAGCCCTCCTGGCTGCCAGGGAATCTTTCGGAAGAAGCAATGAAATCCGGCCAAGAGCTAGAGCAGAGATAGAGGTGGGGGGAAGAAATCGAGTAGTGGGTGTGTTGGAGTTCTGTGATATCTCCGCCTTTCGGAAAACCCAGAAGAGAAATTAATAAAAGGGGTAAAGACGAAGACGAAGAAGAAGTCCTAGAAGGACAAAAATAGGAGAACGGAGGAATGTTGAAACAAATGCGAAAGAATAGTATTGGGAGAGGAAAGGGAAATGGTTTTTTGGGTCTTGTAGGGGTTTGCCGGCGTCCCGATCAGGGGACTTTTCTAGATGAAATGGGAAGAAGGAAACGAAGAAGAAGAAGAAGTAGCTGAAGAAGAAGAAGAAGAAGAAGAGGAAACAGGGGAGGTGGCGGAAACAGGACGATCCCTTTGAACGTAGACTGGCTGGATTGGATCTGCGTGCATTTTTGTTGACTTTTCTCAAAGCATTTCGTTTTTGTTTTTCCTCCATTTTTTCCTATTTTATTTGATCGTTTTCCTCGGCCCATTCTCGTTCTAGAAACCGAATTAATTGAAAAGGTGATGATACAAGAAAATGTTACGCGGGGGGTTTTTTTTTTTTCTTTTCATTTTTCTCTGCTTTGATTTCTTTCTTTTGGCAGTCTTTTTTATGGAATAATAATAATAATATTTTACTTGCTCATAAAGGAGGAGATTTCTTATGATCCAAACAAATATGGTCTTTTTCTTTATTTTATTTGCCTCTCTAGAACTAGAAGGCTATTAAACGAGTCGGAAAAAAAAAATTGTGAGCTATTTGGTTGTAGTACTTGTGGTAACATATGTTCTGGATTTTTTAATTATGGTTAATTTACTAATAATCTAGTTTTAAATGCCACTCACTCTATATAACTATTCACTAGGTGTACCAAGTGGTTAGATTTTTTTTTTAAGTTTCATTTTTTTTTGTAGAATTAAAGTTTCATTATTTTTTTTGGTAGAATTAAAGTTTCATTTTTAAAGCAAATAGAAGATTTTCTTTCTTTTTTTGTATTTTCATATGGTCTTCTTTCTTTTCTTACATCCATCAAAAGATTTTTGCTTATGGTCCTCTGGGGATGGCAAAAATATCCATAACCGTGGATATCCGCCCGAATCCGACCTAATCGGGTAGGGTAAAATCCGAACCCGAAGAACATTTAGTGGGTACGGGTAAATCCGAACCCGAATATTGCGGGTAATGGGTGGGCATGGATTTCTCACTATCCAACCCGAACCCGCCCGATTATAGACATGCATATGTATTTTGTCTAGAAATAATCAATATTTTTCTCTAACATATTTTATATTTAGCATATAAATATAATATTTTCATGAAATTGTGTAGTTTTAATTAATTTTCTTCATCCTAGTGAATTATTGTCGTACTTTTCCTCTTACGTAATGTGAGAATACGTATGAATGTTAACATATTGGTTGAAGTTATGAAGAGAAATTATTACCCATGGATAACCGTGGATACCCGAAACCCGAATGGGTATGGGCATGGTTATGATTTTCTACCCATTTCACATGTGTGTATGGGTATGGGTAAAACCCGAACTACTATGGGTAGGGTAACGAATATGCACTATCCGCGCCCGACTCGACTCATTGCCATCCCTATGGTCCTCGGTTCTCTTTGTCACAATAAGTATTTTAATTATATGCACCAAGCTATCATGAAGATTTACTTTACAATGGTATATTGTTAATTTAGAACATGAATGTTGATACACCATACATTATTGTAGAATGTATCAGGTTGGTGTAGTTTTAGAAGTATACTATTATTAGTGACATATCTCCATTTAGATTTTTGACCATGAATTAAATCGAGTTTGGGATATGATACTATATCTTAACCTCTAATATATAACCCCACGCCTTGAGTTTTAAAACTCAAACTCGAAGATATATTTGACAAAAAAAAATTTAATCAGTGATTCGGATTTGCTAAATTGCATCCAACGGCCAATATCACTTGACAATAGTATATTCCAGGAGTACGACAGTCTTTATCATAGAATATATATAGTTACGCATGAAAAATCTTCTTGGTTATTGAAAATCTTTTCTCATAGATTCATATTGAATTTCCATAAGATGAACATACCATACGAACCACATAATATGTTACACGTACATAGAGTCAAGGAATGATTACGAGGAAACTCGTCACAGAGAATCTTGAACCAATATAATACTATGAGATATGTTTGGATCTCTTAATAGATCATTGTAACACAACACAAGATCCATCTAATATTGATGATTGTCAATTTGTACAGAGATCCTCTTTTAGAGTCCACTAACAAAGCCAATTTGTTAGAGACACTCTACGCTATCGATGTGGTATGTGGAGACTGAAACAGATAGGCATCGCTGTCAGATTGCCTATAGAAAGATAAAATTTCACTAAAGACAATCAAGGATACGATTCATCGATTGAGTTTTACACCCATTGATCACAATTTGATATCGTGAAAACGACTGGAACGAGCCGAATTGTTGGAATTCATACCGAATCAAGAAAATAATGAAGTAGTTCCGATCGAAAGTCGGGTTGGATTAAAAAAATGGAAATAGAAGCAACCATAGCCAGACATGGTACAATCTTTTTGTAATTGATTATATAGATGTCTAGCTTCCTTGGTGATTACGTTCGTAATATTCTCCTTGAAGTACTTAATGATGATCCTGATAATTAGTGTGATTGTTGTTATTTGATTCTTCATGATTCCATCCAGATCGGCGGCCGATGGAGGACAGTATCTTTATGCGGAGACAAGAAGTAAAGGGCCGGGAGGGAGGGATGAGAAAATGGAAAATAGAGAATTGAGTTCAGTTGAGATGGTCAAATTAATCCTACTGGCTACTATACTCCATCAACCAAACCAAAGTATTATTATTATTATTATTATTATTATTATTATTATTATTATTATTATTATTATTATTATTATTCAGAGGTACTTTGACAATAGAGGACCTACTGATGAGATGTTCAAATCTTACCAATGACAATTTTATTTTTTCTTCTACCATATACTTCGGAACCAGCTTTATTGGGTTCTGTCACGAGACACACCTGAAATTTGGGAGGAAAATATTAAATCCCGTATAGTATATAAATAGGATTTGAATGCTAGACGTTAATGTAAGCTGAAAAAATTTGTATACAATAAAAGAAATGTAGTTAGATACATACATTACTTAAAAATATAAACAATGAATGTTAATTTATCTTTTTTTTAGATATTAAAACACGTCAGGTTGTTTTCACATGGAATTGCAAAGTTAGGCAGTAAAGGATTCGGAACCTGGATCAGCTAGCTAGCTAGTATAGTTATAGTATTCATGGTACAGAAATGCAAACTCATTAAAATTGGCATTAGGTGGTCGGGTCACCATATATGCCTAACCCTACTGGCTAGCAGGGCAGTTGATTAATGAACCAAACCACTCATTAACGGCTCGGCGTCCGACTCGAGAAAAACTCATTTGAAACTTGATTCGTCTTAATCGAGCTGGCTCGCGAACAAGCTTGTTAACTAAACAAGCCGAACTCGAGCCAATATCATGTTCAGCTCGAAAGCTCGCGAACAAGCTCATTTAACAGTTTGACATCAGAAAGGATTGAAATCCATGGAATTTTATTTATTGAAATTGAAATAAATATTGTGTTATATTAAAATTTATTAGTATATATTATTGCAGACTCAATAATACAGGTACACGTCATTTGATTTGTGCCCATTATTATTAATGGAATAACAGAGTAGCATTGATGGTCCCTGGATGGATGGATGGATATTACCTCATCTATTGTTTCTTTCTATAAAGTATAAACTATAGTTATCTTCTACTATTCTTTCTTTCTTTCTTTCTTTCTATAAACTATTCTTTCTTTCTATAAACTATTATTTGTTACAATCCTTTCAAAATAAGAAAAATTATTTGTTACAATCATACACTTCTCCTCATCCTGTCGTGAGTGAGCTATATGTGTTTGTTTAATCGATGATTTCTTTCTTTTGTGTCATTGCAAACGTTCACATATCACATATGGAAGCGTAGTGTAGACATGGACAAAATGCCCAACTGTACCACCTTGTACATATGTATATGATGTGGGTGCGAATTAAATCGAGACGGCTAGCTATTTGTAGTCTTATTAACCGTGCGGCTACTTAATTCGTCGATGTCACATCAGGGTACCATTTGTACTATATATACATTGATAAGTGAACACTGGGTTACCTAATTAAAATGCCTAATGTCCACTGCATGTTGGATATGAGGATGTGTCAAGTTAGTTTTATCTAACATAATCATATATTGTCCATTGATTCATAGTAACAATTGTAACATCTAGTGATTGGCAGTTTCCTAATTACTCCTGCTTGCCTAGAATGATACACATGTATACAAGAAGATGGTATGGATGCATGTAGACTTGTGTATTTATAAAATCCTTCCTTATTTGGGCTATGTGTTTGTTTCATCTATTTTTTGTACAGATTTGAATGCAGAGTTGAAAAAATAAACTCATATTTGTCTTCTTCTCTATAACATATTTTCAATGGAGTTAAACGTCATTCGAGCGGGATCGGTTAGCTTGACTACCCCTAAAGGGGTAGTGATTTTTGACACCCTCTTTATGATTGGCCAATTTTATTTTCAATCATTGGCAAGTATTAATTAAACTGGTTTTTTTTTTTAATCTTGTAATTTGGGGTCTCTCACCACATTGGAAAAGAGAAAGAATCTGGGGAAAAATGAAATCACCCCCATTAATTACATAATTAATTTCTCTCACTGGTACATTAATTACACGTACCACTCCACTGGTACACGTACCACTCCACTGGTGCGAGCAATCCACAAGGTAGGTTAGAGTGAGAACAATACCAGTGCAATGATATTTTTCATAACAATGATAAACAATAACGGAGCAACAATGCAGTACCACTTCAATGATACAAATACCACTCCACTGGTACACGTACCACTCCACTGGTACACGTACCACTCCACTGGTGCGAGCAATCCACAAGGTAGGTCAGAGGCGATCCCAGGATGGCGGCAGCTGGAGATAGGAGGATGGTGGTGGGGGAAGGCGCTGGAGGGTTTTGGTCGTTTCAGAGTAGAGGAGGGTTCTGGTTAAAATGAAATCAAAATGGAAAGAGGGTCCAAATGGAGAGAGAAGGAGACGAAAAGAAGAAAAAAAGGCAATTAATTGCACATTTGGGGGGGAGCTTTTTTCTGATTCCCCATATTCTTTCCCTTTCCAATGTGGGTGAGAGACCCCAAATTACAAGATTAAAAAAAATAAAAAACCAGTTTAATTAATACTTGCCAATGATTGAAAATAAAATTGGCCAATCATAAAAGGGGTGTTGAAAATCACTACCCCTTTAGGGGTTAGCATAGTATCCCACCCCTCATTCGAGCTCCAAACTTTGTAGTCAGATTTCCAAAAAAAAATTCATACCACTATGTATCCTTTTTCTCTTTTTCTTCTTCTTCAATTTTTCTCCATAAGATAATGTATTCTTAGTTAACTGTTAAAAAGATCTCATGGCGATTATCAGTAGTTCTGTAGTTGGGTCCTCTTGTAGATTGTTTATTTGATGCATTCGCTTTCAAAAATAGATTTTCTTTGGCATGCTTGATAACTCCCAGGTAGGAGGAAATTTTGATGATTGAACTTAATATACGCGAGTCCACAAGATAGTGCAATTTGTTAGTGTCGACAATTGAGAGGATAACCAGTAAATCAAGTATTTATACAAGAAAAAAATGTTGAAATGCAAATTAATTTAGAGGAACTCA